CCACAAACACCCAACCCCCTTTCCAATTTTCATAAATAAACGATAAACCTGCAATTATTCCAGCATTATGGGGTAAAAAGCCAAGGAGATTAAAAGTAAGTTCTAAACTCCTTGTAAAAAGCCCAAAGAATATGCCTACGTGTCGTGACCTGCGCATACTCATAATTTAATATGGCAGACCAACAAAGCTGCAGTGTCCTTACGTTCTTTCGGAAAAAGACGCACACAAGTCTTATCAAGCAAACATGAACATGATTGAAAATTTGAGCGCATGCATTATCCTAGAACTAGGCCCACAACGAAGTGTGTAGGCTCAGTCCTAGAACAATATTAATATGTAATTCTAAAAAATAGGCCATTTACATGGATTCCGCTTAAACCGAACTCGTTTTTTTCGAATATCCGAAACAGCAGTTAATCAGAAAGTGAAACAATCCCAAATCTATTTTCTTCTACTTAGATCCAATTTAAAAAGAGGTTTGTATTGAATTTGAGCAACCTCTCTTTAAAAAAAGCGTGCGTGAGTGTGACATGCACGGCACACACGAAACAGTAACATGCGAACTGTGGAGACTGCAAAATACATTGTTATTATATATATATCTATTATAACTGAGCCTACACGCTTCTGTCCTGTGGGCCTAGAGCTCGATATATACGTTCTTATAGTACTCTGAGAGTCAAGCCCATATCTAAATCTATTGCCAGTTTTAAAGAGTCTAGATCTATATCTAATATATATGGTAATAAATAAATGTATTATTACTTTTGTCCCACTAGGTTGGAAAGTAGGACAAGAAACTCCCGCAAGAGTTCAGAGTTCACAGCACACTGATTGTCAATTTGAAAACACACCATGAACGTGTGCAAAACTGCGTTCACGAGACTGACTGCTGTGCTCTTGCATGGTAAGGATTTCGCTTGCATTATCCTTTTTTAATATGTTGCATGTTTAGGTCAAATTATAAGGTCGAGACTTTGGTTTTTAATTACACATGATTTTATGTGTACCGGTATCAAGAGTTAGAACTTCGATCTGGCTGCCTCAATGTTTACAATTCCGGTCCGGTTTTGTTGTTGCTTTCTTTTTCACGAGTAGACTATCTAATATATAGATCTAGATCCAGGTCTGCATTTTGAGCTGTTCAATAAGCATACAAAATTAAGCTTAGGTTAAAGTTTGACTTTGGTCGCATAAAAAATACCAGCAAAAGTGATACTCTGACCTAACAGCTGCCCGTCAATTAACAAAAGGCCTAGGAGTTTGCGCACGACACGACCAGTCGAGTAGGTTGCTGCTGTTGATCGAGGAAATTCCTCGGGTAACCGAACAATACCTTTGCTCGAATAAATTGGGCATATAGTGGTCTCTTGAATATTGAATGAGCCATATCATTGAATGAACGGCGCATTTTGTTGTTGCTTTTTTTTTCACTGCGGTACAATCTTGATCCAGGTCTAAAAACTTCAAGTCCAAGGCTTCTTTTAATTTAGATCTAGTTTGGACAGCCGACGGGTCAGAGTACTGTATTAGCCTAGCCCTGATACGACGACTGGCTACTGGATAGAAAATCATCTAACAAATTATGTCAAAGTTGATACACGCCAGTATACAAGCACCAAAAACTCTTTCTCCTGATGAGGTAACTTTTATACTATGGTGGTTGAAGTTATATAGCGAGGCCCTGGAGAAAAAAACAAACTAGCAACTGCCATAAAACAAGGTCAAAATGTGCATAGGGGGCTCTCGTGGCCTAGCAGTTATAGTTTTGGCCTCTCATTCTAAGGTCCCAGGTTCGAATCTGGGTAGCAGCCGAAAAATTTTGTTCCCTAAAATTGTCTCCTTTCACCTCCTTTCCTGCTCTCTAGCAATGTTCTGTCGTCTGCTTTATCTCCTCATTCTGGCCCCACCCCCTCACCTCCTTTGCCCCCTCCTCTGGGCTCCTGACTCTTTCTGCACAGCCTTTCTATTGCTACTCCTTGGCTCCTTTTTACTGCTGTCTTTCTGCCACACCCCTGATCTTCTGGTAGGAAAAATCTACACCCAGCCTTCTCAGACAAGGGTGAAAAATCTAGGAGGGCCTGTTTGTAAGTTGCCCACGTTAAAGATCTCTTGGTGGTCTAAAATTGATAAGAGTAGGCTTTGGCCGCCACCCAGGCAAATTATGCAGTTGGAGCGCTGTAAAACACTTACCGGGTACTCCCCCAAAAATGTGCATGTTGCCTCGTTAAATTCATATACTGAATGTTATAATAAAATAATGAGTATTTTTTTCTCAAAACTCAACATGTTTTGTATTTTTATTCTTTAAAAATTTTTGTTTGTTTGTTTGTTTGTCTGTTTTTGTTGGGTTTTTTTGGTGTTTTTTTAAAAGGATTAAGCATTTTAATTTTGAGCATATATCCAGTTTGTAACAGTTTCTGTCAGTCCCGAGATACTGCAAATGTAAGAAGTGCCTTAGAATAGATCTACCGATCGTCGAGAACTATTTTTGTTCTCTCTTCAAGTCAGAGGGTATCCCATGTGATTCCTAGCGCATGTATAACATCTGGTCACAGTACAGTAGGTCAGATCATGACTTCTATTAAACCAGTGCACATATAATCTCTTCAGTTTTGGCAGAGAATAAAACCTCTCAACATTAATTACTTTTTAAATGAAGGAATAGTCAAGCCTCGTTATACTGCTAGTCCTGCTTACAGCCAGGTTTTCCCAATGTACGAAAAGGAGTGCTTGTATATAAACATAGTATTAACTCCTTCACACCGCCATTCGCCAAGTGTCTGAGTTGTATGGTCCTTATTTACCATAGTCCTTTTTTTTTAGAGCATGTAAATTTGAGCAGAGAACTAGTGGCGAATCATCACCACCATTGTCTGTTTCAGACCTGGCCCTTGAAGAAGTAAGAAGAAGAAGAAGAAAAAGAAAAGAAATAAATCCCACTTGGTTCACCTTATTATTCATTATGGCAGGTCAGGTTAAACCTTTCAGTTAATGGCTTGCTGGCAACTTGGTCGTGCACATTTAAATGTCATTGTCATCATGTGCAAGGCAAGGTATATCTTTCTTCTACCGCCTGTCTTCTACCGTACTTTTGTTTTCTTCCTTTATTTATTTTTTAACCTTAATTCTCATTCTGCCCCTTGCCCCTTTCTGTGTTAGTCTATTACACAGCTATGAAAATTTTTCAAATTTTTATTTTAAAAGGGGAAATATTTAAAAAAAACTAAAGTACATTTTTAAAAAATCATTAAAAAGGGGGGGGGGGTGGATTTGGTTAAAAGCTAACCCTATATCACTGAGAAGTCAACTAATCGGTGGATTCATCTCGTATTTTCTACAAGAGCTCAACCCGGACTCCTATACATGTACCGGGTGCCCATTACGGCCAAACGCGTTTGTTTTCATGGCAACCGAGTTGGGCGGTTGAGGCCCGACCAACCGACCCCGTCCGTAATGGGCACCCCGTATTCGCCTAGCCGACAGGCCTAACTAAAACATTTCATTGTTGAAAGGAAGGGGGAGAGGAGGGGCGGCTCCCACCTTGTTGCGCACGTGAATCCGTTTGTAATTCTTCCAGTGCCCATGTTAAAAAATCATGCACGTGCCTTCCTCCAGAGTGGTCCGTTCGCAAGCAAGTTTTTATCGTTCGAGCAAGATTTCTCGAACAGTTCCTCGAGCATTAATCGATCAAGCTTTTGTTTACGTTGAGAAGGTCAAGTCACGAAACGGGCTTAGGCTAAAGTACTAAAGGGAGTATTACAGGTTCAGTCCACTGACAGTTGTCCGTCCTCTTAGTGGTAGGAAAATAACACATGATAGATCTAACAATCTTGGTAAAAATGCTTCTTTTTCGTGATCTAGATCTAGATCTAGAAATATAGATCTAGATCCAGCAAGATAAATAGATTTAGGCTAGCTGCCCGTTTTTACCATGATTGTAATAATTGTATCATGTATTATTTTAGGCATTATTTTATTTTATTTTCATCAAGAGGACGGACAACTGTCAGTCAGTTTTAGCTGATCATGTAATACCCCCTTCGATTTCGAACTGCTGCGTCATGCTCACTTTTGTGACCGGTTATGATCTCAAATTGTTATAGGCCTAGTTTCAGTCAGTCCCGAGATACCGCAAATGTAAGAAGTGTTTTAGAATGGATCTACCGATCGTTTGCATTGCTGTCTGTGACTTTCGTCACAAACCCCCGTATGAAAATTTCAAATTCAGGCATGGCTATCACTATCAGTGACAGTGATCAGCTGTGTGGACTTACTCCGTTACTTTGTCATTATTTTTGTTTTTGGTGCCTGCAACTGAATTTTAATTAGACTTAGACATCTAGATCTCTAGAGATCTAGATCTAGATCTAGTATAGATCTACACTAGATCTAGTTATTTATTTATTTATATAATTATTTATTTTTAAAAAAAAATTAATTTGGGGGGGGGGGCAGAACTATTGATTTTTGACAATCTTCTGGATGTGCACTTTTAGATCTAGACTCTAAGGTCCTCACCTTATTCCGGAAAAAAGGAAATGGGTAGGGTAGGGTTTTAGAGGACAACCTTTCCTAGGTCTACCGACCCTAACCCTACTACTACTACTACTACTAACTACTACTACTACTACTACTACTACTACTACTACTACTACTACTACTACTACAGAGAATCGTTTCATTAGTGGCTTTTTACTTAGCTTTTGAATGTTTTCTAATGTTTAATTATCTTTTGTTCCTCTGTGCATTTCCAGTCAAAAGCACACCTCTTCGGTACTGCCACTCTTCTCAGCTTCTTACACGACACAAAGACATGAGGGTCAAACTTCTGCCAGCGTTGGAGGATAACTACATGTACCTCCTGATTGACGAGGACACGAAACAATGTGCTGTGGTGGACCCAGTGGAGCCAGCGAAGGTATGTGAGACGTTCGTGAGAAACAGCTGGATAATACAAAAATGATTTTTTTAAAACTTTGTATAGAGAGCGAACATTTCCAACATTTCCGCTGAACTGCAAGCTATATGCACTTTACAATCTATTATATGTGAGGCATTGTGGTGAAATCAGGCACTTGTCAAATAATTAAATGGAATAAACAGGCGTTATTCCGCTAGTTGGTAATTTCTGTCCAATTTTCGTTTTTCGGCTCTACACCTTTTATATATATATATATATATAAAAACACATTTTCATGTGAATTTTACCGAAAACTCTTGGTTAAAAGCACAAAATATATGTAATTATTAAGTTTTCAAGGACTCTCAAGCCATTGAAGTTGCAGAACTTTGGGGGACATTTTCTTGCTGATCTTACCACTGAAATCAGAAATCGCAATATATCGTGACTTCTATTCAAGATAAAAGGGTGTTTTTGTCATTGAAAGCATGGCAAATGAGTAAGCTTTCAGATAGTACCAATAACTCCACATGCCCAAAAATAGACGAGCGCCTGATTTCACTGCGTCATGCTCACATTAAGGTACCCCAGGAGACCCTGGAACACTCAGAGACATTCTGGGCTCCCCGGGAAGCATTCAGTGCGAGCGACAGATGAACTGCTCAAACTCAAATACTAATAGAACAAACTGACAAGATCTTTCGCTATTCATAGCCAGGTACCCAAGCCCATCGTGATGAAGTGAGAAAAATTTCGGGTAAAAGTGCCTTTCTCTTTGAAACAATGTTAGGCCCCTGATGGGTATCATGAACCTATGACCTTTCAGCTGTGAGCCCAACGACCTAACCACTAGATCACCAAAGCCATCATATTATTAAGTGTGCTGTATAGTGTACACTGTACATGCTGTTCTAACTTCTCTTTCATACAGCTTCTTATCCCTCTAGGCCTGAGTAGATTATGACAAAAAAGCAATCCTACCATAAATACCGTGTATATATCACATAGTATGACATCTGATAAGATTCAGGTAAACTTGTTGTGTAAATCATATCTTGTTCATCGGATGAAACTCACAAACTTTTTCATGACAAGCACCTAAAAGTTGCTCTTTTTATTTTCTGAAAGCCAAAGTAAGAAAAAAAATTATTCCTGATGAATGTATATAAGAACTATAAAAATGTGTTGAAAAAGTATTTAAATAGTCAAAACTTGAGTCATTAATGTCACTGTTAAAAAGGTTTCGGATCTCATCATCATTAATCCCAATTGCGTGATCCCGGTCAGGCAAGTCACACAAATTTATGAGTTTGTTCCCCTCTGTTCCCAGGTTTATATACTGTGGTCTTAAAATTAAGCCGCAGGAAAAAATTTCTGCTTTTTAGAGAAAAAATTGCGTCTTTCGTGATAATATTATATATGGCAGTAAAACTTTTTTCTGATGAAATGAATGTAATTTTAAAAAAATTGACATCTTGATTTTAAAACCTTTTTTCTGATGAATGTAATTTTATGAAATCGAGGTTTTGATTTTAGTGTGATTAAAGTTTACAAACTTTTATTGCAGGTGCAGGCTGCTTTGAAAGAGGAAAACGTGCAACTGACAACTGTATTGACAACCCATCATCACTGGTTAGTATGTAGACTGTTGCTAGAGTTGTAGTGCTACTCTATTGTCGATGTCGAATTCCCCTTTGATGAAGGGCTCATTTGACTTCCCAACAATCTCCCTGGACGATCTGTTAATTTCAACTTGCCATTCTCCATCCCTGGGGATACATTACATAACGTACAGTGTACAGCGTTGCAACCTGGGGAGTGCGTTCCACTGTGATGGAAAATAACTGATAGCTATCACTCATTTGCTCTTTGGTGAACTGTGGAAAATGTTGTACAAGATTTTTAAAAAAATGATCTTTCCAATGAACATAGCTTTTAATTTATCAGAATTAACATTCGAGGTTTCCGTTACAGATCAACTTTTTTTTTGGCGTGATTATCTTATTTTTTATTATATATAGGTGCTCTTTTTTCTTTTATTTATGTAACTTGTAAAGTAGAACATGACTATAGCGGAACCCGCTATAGCGGGACTTTACCGGAATCCCCCTTTTTCCCCCCATGTAAACTCAATTACTTATGCTTGGATATAGCGGGCAAGGAAAGTCCCGAACTCAGATACAGTGGGAGAGATTGAGCGAGCTCAAGCTGGTTGGTGGGGGGCTGTAGGCGGGTGGACTAGTACAGTGATGAGTGAGGCGGGCAGGCGGTAGGTATAGAGAGAGATGGTGCGGAGAGGGAGATAGTTCCGAGAGACGCATTACGTGAACCACTCCAAAAGTGATGTAGATCTATACAGTAGAACCTGACTAGAACGGCACCTGCTGCAGCGGGACCATCCCTACAGCGAGACCTTATCGGAACCGCCCTTTTTTTGTCTATGCAAATTCAATTACCTGTGCTCGGGTTTAACGGGGCTAGGAAAGGCCCGAAGTAGGATACAGCGGGAGTTGGAGATGGAGGACTGTAGGCGGGATCCAAACAGGCAGTCACAGGTGCGCGTTGTGATTGGCTAGTCCATTAATGAGTGAAGTGGGGCAGGCTGCAGAGAGAGATGGTCTGGAGAGACGCGTTACGTGAGCCACTCCAAAATTTTAATTGATGTGCCATAGCCTAGACGCTCAGTACCGTATAAGAACGTATAGACCATAGCCCTAGGCTAGGCCAAAAAGTAAAAGAAGAGGAGATCGTGTAGTGTGTGATTCCTGATTTATTGATTCATTGAACTGTGATCGTTGATGCTCAGGCATACGCACGCATCCACTTCACTTGTTCTACTGTAGGCATACCGGTACGATAGACAGCACAAGCAACAAACCGAGGAAACGATGGCTTCCAACAAAGACTAAAGGAAATGCTTCTTACTCAAATTAAAAGCAGAAATAGTCAGCGAAGTTGACAAGACAAGGAAGACTAATCTAAAGCGCTAATTTTATTGATATATGGAAAGGATGTAATCATGTGGATTTTTAAACAATTTTCGGTAATTTCTCCTTTGCATTTCTATAGCGGGAACTCGCCTTCAGCGGGATTTTTCTTCTGGAGCCAAAGGTCTCGCTATAGCCGTGTTCTACTGTAGTAGTCACAGGGTCTTTTTAAGAATGATAGCGAAAACGCAACTAACTATAGTGAAGTCAAAACAATGCTAAAAGTATTGAGGGAAAAGTGGCACTAGTATAAGTAATAACCTGGTTATGGTGGGTTGCAAAATTATTTCGTTCATATCATAGTGATGTTGACTTGTGAAGGTCATGTAATCACACTCATGCATATATATTCATTGTCTTCAGGGATCACGCAGGGGGCAATGAAAAACTCATCGAAGCAGTTGGGTCTAAAGTAGTCGTTGGAGGAGATGAAAGGATTGGAGCTCTCACTCGTAAGGTTTCCCATGGAGATGAGCTGAAGGTAATTCTTTTATCTGTGCATGTGTTGTTATCTTTGTCCTGCTCTTAGTGTCTGCTTTTATCAGAGCTGTTGTGGAGGCTGTGTTGTTCTTGTTTCTGCTCAGATGGTGGTGGACAACTTGCTAACATGGGAATGTCCTGCTAGAGAAAGTCGTAGCTCTTTTTAAAAAATGTGTTCGGAAAAGCCTCTGAAATTTTTTTCATTTATTATGTTTAGATGTGAAATTCTCGTGTACCTGAGAACGTCAGACTGGCCGCTAGAAGTAGAAGCGCTGCTCGTCATGTTGGGAAAAAGTTTCAGCACTTGGGAGCAGACATTTGAGTTAAATGAGTTGAGGAATGCAAGGCGGGAATAACAGCATGAAAATATGTTTTTTAAAAATTTAGTGAAATTGCTAGTATAGTATGCATCTGTCTCGCTGGTTTATGCATAATATAGATCTATATATATTTTGCTAATGTTAAGGTGCTGATTACGAATATGACATTAGATTTTTAATCGTAATTAGAAAAAAAAAAATTTTGTTTGCTCGGGCTGGGCCTATGTTTTGATGAGTCACCAGACGACCAGACTAAAACGTCGCAAGTGGCATTCCAACTGAGCCGACTGTTGTAAGGAGAAGTTGAGTCGTTTCGGGGGACTCATGATCCAAACGGCTCACCTTTTACTTTGGTAAAAACTGGTGCTCTATTTCAATTACAGAATTCGCTGAGAGATGGATGACTTTTAGTCTGTTGGGTTTCTCGTTTGGTGGACATGTGGACTAACGTTGATGTTTCAGATGTAAATGGTAATCTTCTCCTGGTTTTAACACTCTTATGTCAGTGTTCTTTCTTGTTCTATCTGCTGTAATACTTTACTTTACTTTTACTTTTTCATCCTTTGTTGCCGTTAAGCGTCGAGGGGAGATGCAGTTTTCTATGGTAGGCCAGCTCCGCAGCTCTTTCAGTTGTGATGTTATGTTTTCTTAGGGTTTCCTTGACACCCTCGATCCACCTTTTGCGTGGCCTTCCTCTTCCTTTATAGCCTTTATTATGGTGTTGTAGGCTCTCAAGGCTGGCTGGTCAGGTGACATGCGTAACAGGTGGCCAAAGCATCTGCTGTAATAGTCAAGTCCAATTTACATTATTTATGATTGAAATACATTTTATTTATTAATTCTTTTCATTTATCTGACCAGATTGGGAGCTTGAATGTGAAGTGTCTGTACACCCCGTGTCACACATCAGGCCACATCTGTTATTTTGTCACTGGCCCTTCAGGATCTCAGCCTGCTGTTTTTACAGGTACACTTTTGTTAGAGGGGTAGCTCTCACTATATTTTAGGTACCAGAAACTACATTTTCAAAGTAGCTGTATGCCAAATTTATCTGTGTCATATGAATGGCTTATGTCTCCTGACGATTATTTATGGAACTATTCTTTTACCTCTCAGTCAATTTTAAAGAAAATGTCAGCTGTTTTAATACAATCAAATGTTGCAAAGTTCGCTAACTGGCTGCAACCCCATGTTTGGCAGGTAATTAAACAGAACCAAGTGCACCAAACATCTACACATTAACTAGGTACCAGAAACTAAATTTTCAAAGTAGTTGTATGCCAAATTTATCAGTTTCATCTGAAAGGCCAATATCCACTGAGCATTTTGGTACCATTCTTTAACCTCTCAGTCAATTTTTAAGAAAATGGTAGTTGTTTAAAATTTGATCAAATTTGTTAAAGTCAGTCACTGGCTGCAACTCCATGTTTGACAGACAATAAAAGAGTACCAAGAGCACTAAATATCTCCACATTAACAGAGTACAATCACTATAACAAATATATGGAGCCTAATTTTTTTCAAGACTGTGAGATCATTACAAATCAGTACTTTATCGCCTCAAACACGATGATCTGTCGTTATTTCGACAAAAACACTGAGCGTTGACCCCGCCGGCGCCGCACCAGGCCCCGCCGCGAGCGAGTCGGCTTATACTGTACTGTACCCTGCGAGCGGGGTCACATGCTTTCTGAGTCTCGCAGAAGGATTGATGAAAAATAATTCCTAGGGATTACTTTATTCTAATAGGAAATAAACTGATCTTTTATGAGAAATATTTTTAAAGCCGGTATTTGACATATTATGGGTAAAAAGTGATCTTTAAACATTTCGACAGTATTTTTAAAAGCTTTCTATTTAGACGCCAAAGGCAAAACACATACCACGGGAAAGCCCATTTAAAGCTCTACAGTTCTCCGCCAATGAAAAGACGGTATTTAATCATTCCTCGTTCCGCGAAGCATTAGAATGCACCCGTGTCAATTTTTCAACCGGCCGACCACGCATTCCGACCGCGAGGGGCTTCGCTTTCGTCGGCGATTCTCCAGCTCCTACTAATCGGACATAAAAACAACTTACACCATTGTAACGAGGAAAAGCTGAACTTTTACAAGGTGTACGGCACTTGGTGTTTTATAGTGAAAGAGCAAAGAAACAGCAATCGGAATTACCCCGATACCACCGATACCACGCGGTCGGAAGGCTGCGAGGCCGTGTTTACGCTACCTACATTAACAGAATACAGTCACTATAACACAGTATGGAGCTTAATTTTTTTAAAGACTGTGATATCATTGCAAGTCAGTATTTTATTGCTTTAAACTTGACGACCTGTTGTTATTTTTAAAAAAAATGAAGACACTATCGCAGCCGCTGTTGCACCGCCCCCCACCCCTGTGGTGAGCGAGTTGGCTCTATCCTGTAGTTGCTAAGTGCTCCCTATGTTGGGGGTCATATATACTTTCGTAGTTTCCCGGAAGGATTGATGCTAAATAATTCTGAGCCGATGACTCTACTCCAATAGAAAATGAACTGATCTATCTGTTGGTGCCGTTTTTGAGCCGATGTTTTACATATTTCGTGTAAAAGATGGTTTTGAAAACTTTGACGCTATTTTCAAAGGCTTTCTATTTTAACGCCAAGGGCAAAAATTTACCTTTAGAAAACCTGTTCAAAGCTGCATAGTTCTCCGCCAATGTAACACTGGTATTTAATTATCAATCTTTCCGTGAAGCATTTGAATGCATGGGTGTCAATTTTTTAACTGGCCGACCTCACATTCCGCCTGCGAGTGGCTTCGCTTTGAATGGCGATTTTCCAGCTCCAAATACTCAACCATACAAACAAGTTACACCGCTATTAGTGTTAGTACTGTTACGAGGAAAAGCTGAACTTTTTCATGGTGGGCAGCATTTGGTGTTTTATAGTGACAGAGCAAAGAAACAGCAGTGTGAATTACCCCGGCGCAGTTCGGGTGACCAGTCAAAAGACGTTTTTCAGTCACCCCCCCTTCCAAACATATCACTCTTAGTCCTAGATCTATGTTTCCATCGACAGCAGGGTGGGTTAACAGTCTCCACCGCTCTCTTTGTTCTGCATGAGGAACAGTATTGCGCAGTATAAATGCTATTTATTATTATTATTATTATTGCCAAATCCTGTTGTCTAGACTTGTTATGCAAGCTGTGTAGGCTGCAACGGAAATTTCCCTGTCAAGCTTTACCTATCGGCGTGTTTCACAGATCAAAGAGTGCGTTTAGAGGAGGTGACCTTACATTTGTATGTCTAAATCATATTATAGAGTAAAAAAGCCCTGGTCATATGATGGTAGAGTGCATTTGAGTGGAGTGTTCCTTTGTATGGGGTGCATTTATGCGGAACGGAGACTACTGTACCAGTTCAAATTATAGCTATTTAGCATCCCTCAAAACAACTTTGTTTTTGTCTTCATTAGGAGACACCCTCTTTGTCGCTGGATGTGGCAAGTTTTTCGAGGGCACCCCAGGACAGATGTACACAGCCCTTGTAGAGATTCTTGCAACTTTGCCTCCTGAGACGGTAAGTACAGCACTTTAGGCCTTTATTAGGCTCCTGGTACTCTAGATTTTTATCACAATTTGTGTTTTTGTGTTTTTGTCAGCGAAAGATGTTGTCACTTTGTTAGAGTTTTTTTAGCATTTATAATCCCAGCTTGCACTGTTTTAGAGTCTTCTGATGTAAGAATAGTTGCAAAGCACATAGAGCATCCGTTAGAGCATGGATGTGTGGTATAAATTTATGGAATTATTATTATTTGCTAATCCTGTTTATAAATCCTGCCATGTGAACACTGAAGTGAGTAGATATAAGAATGACAATGCTGTAAAATTTCATCCTTTGGCAGAAATTTATATTGATCCGTACAAAGCATACATGGGGAGAATGCTATTTTTACAAGCGTTATATATGGATTGCATGGTGTTAAATGAACGTTTTACCAACCAAGACGTTTTCAATATTTTTGTTCGACCTAGTTAAAATTTCAATTCGAAGCTGCTGTCACCAGTGTCACAATTGCTTTCGATTGATGTCCGAGTTACCAGCAAAAATGCTTACAAATTTGAATAAAAATTCCCTGCATAAAGAATTACCATTGTAGCGAAAATGGTCATTTACATCTAGTATGATCTAGAGTCTGTTGCGGGTTCTGACTGTGACAGATGGCACCAAATAAACCAGTGAACCTTTAATTATTCATTATCCTTTATTTTTTCTGTCAACCAGAAAGTCTACTGTGGGCATGAGTACACAGTAAGCAACTTCAAGTTTGCTGCCACTGTTGAACCAAACAATTCAGAATTGACCGCAAGAATGGACCTCGCTCAGGTTTGTTTTACTGAAAGTGGATGTGTATATAGCAACAGCAGCCAGAACAGCTTTTTTTGTCCATTCCATTGAATTTCACTTACCTCCATCTCACTGATCTGTGCTCCCCTACCCCCACTCTCTTTCTTGCTGGTTGATCACAGTTGTATCCTTCGGAGAAATGTGGGCACTTCTGTACTGTCTGTTCCATCTTTCCAGTGACATACTATTACTTTTATATTATTTAGACTGTTGTCATCTTGTGTACCAATTCCCTTTGGACAGATTATGAATATGATCAGAAAGTCGACAGAGTTATGATTGCATTTTGATTGTCTTTTTCTGTTTAATTGCTTTCTATGTATAGTCACATATTTTATCCTGTGTAGTAAATGTAGGTAACCTTGGGAACAGAACTCATCTCAGAGCAAAATTCCATTTGATTTTCCTTTATTGTGCTTTGTTTGAAAGAAAAAAAGTATTTTAAAAAAAAAGGCTTTCATATATTTCGTGTTGGGGAGCAAGAAATTAATTAAGATAATGCTATTTATACTGAGATTCACACCATTTGTTCTGGGGTGTGTGGGGGCTCCAGTGGCTAAGTGAGTAGTGAGTTTAGACTCAAGCAATGTCAAGCAAGTGTCGGTGACACAGGGATCAGGGGGTGGTCATTGGGCTGTGTCCTTGAGCAAGACACGACAACCCTAGCTCAAAATACAGGGCGCTGCACAGTGGCGACCGACAGTGGCATTGTTTGTAAACTGTTCTGTATTTGTGTAATAGTGTGTATTTATGTATGTATTTATGCATGTAAGTATTTATGTATGTACGTATTTATAATTATGTATCTATGTATGTAGGTTTGCCATTGTAAAAACAAAGTGCCCTTCTGGGACAAATAAAAGTGTAATTTTAAAGTTTCTGAGCATGCATTCTTATTTGTTGTTCTCAGAAACAAAGAAATAACAAAGAGCCTACCATTCCATCCACAATCGGAGATGAGCTCTCTTTCAATCCATTCATGAGAGTCAGGTAAGTGCTTATTCACAAAAGAATGCTTTTTTTCACTTGCATAAGTCACTTGTATAAGTCATTACTTTTATGGAATTTAAATTGCTTGCTGAGACCAATTGTACGGCCTCTTCTAATTTCTTGAGTTAATTCAATACTGGGGGAAAAAAGAAAAATAAGCCGAACAACTTTATTCAGTTTACCTCACATGAAACCATGGCCTTGGAATTTGACAGACTCAAATTATTGCTCAAACTCAGAGAAAAGCAATAACTTGAATGGCTCAATTTAGTAGACCCACACACTATGAGAGTTGTAACAACTGTGAGCAGGCAAGATGCAGTGACAATCTAAAAATCAGATGATGCTTGTATTTTCTTTTCTTTTTTTTTTCCACAACTGACAGCACAGAGACAAGTCCTGAGCATTGAATAAATTTTATTTGCACGGCGACATTGCGTTTATACTGCACAACCTGCATGTCACAAATGTTGCGTTATCAGACAACTGCTGGCAAACTTCTCGGTGGTAACGAAAGCGAAAGTAGATCTTAAGTTTCCCGATCGAGCCTCGGTGTCACATACGCTTCCGCCTGCCGCCATAGCTGCCCATTCGCGTGAAAGTGAAAAGTATCCGGACGCAGAAAAGCTGAACGAATATAATATGACGATCGCGACCGGCAAACATGAACTTACTGACCTTATCGGACTTGGTTTTCAAATTCCAGTTCTGCGATACTGATACTATTTTGACAAAAGATGGGACTTGAGATAATTAGGTTTACTCACCCAAGCTGAATCTCGTATTTTTCGCATTCCATGATGCGTATTTTTTCATTGAAAGTTGTATTTGTGTATTTTCGGCAAAAATTTGTACTAAAATACGTAAAATCGTACTGGTTGGCACCCCTGTAAAAGGCTTTCTAATTAAACGCCAAAGGCCAAACATATACCACGAGAAAGCCCGTCCAAAGTTCTACAGTTCTTCGTGAATGAAAAAGCGGTATTTAATCATCAATCTTTCCGCGAAGCATTTGAATGCACGCGTGTCAATTTTTGAACCGGCCGACCGCGCATTTCTTCGCTTTCCACTGCAATTAGTGCGATTCTTAAGCTCCTAATAATAATAATCGGACATGTAAACAACTTACACCATTGTATCGAGGAAAAGCTGGACCTTTACAAGGTGTACAGCATTTGGTGTTTTATAGCGATATAGCAAAGAGACAGCGATCTGAATTAATCCTATTTCACCGATACCAGGCGCTTGGAAGGCCGCGAGTGTCCGTGAGGCCGTGTTCACCCTCCCTATTAAAAGAGACAAAGTAGGAAAAAACGTGGTTTTAAAAATCCCTGTTATTACCAGGCCTGTTATATATGGTTTCCACTGTGGTGAGATTGAATTAGGTACCAGAAACTAAATTTTCAAACTAGCTGTATGCCAAATTTATCTGTTCCATTTGAAAGGCCTATATCCACTGAGCATTTTGGTACCATTCTTTAACCTCTCCGTCTATTTTTAAGAAAATTGTAGTTGTTTAAAATTTGATCAAATTTGTTAAAGTCAGTCACTGGCTGCAACCCCATGTTTGACAGACAATAAAAAAGTAACAAGTCCACTAAACATCTCCACATTAACAGAGTACAATCACTATAACAAATATATGGAGCATAATTTTTTTCAAGACTGTGAGATCTTTACAAATCAGTATTTTATTGCCTCAAACACGATGATCTGTCGTTATTTCGACAAAAACACAGAGCGTTGACCCGGCCGGTGCCGCACCGGGCCCCGCGGCGAGCGAATCGGCTCTATACTGTAGTGTACGTCACATGCTTTCTGAGTCTCGCGGAAGGATTGATGTAAAATAATTCCAATTTAATTACTTTATTCTAATAGAATATGAACTGATCTTTTAATTAATAGTTTTTATAAGCCGGTATTTTACATATTTTGTGTAAAAAGTGATCTTTAAACATTTTGACGGTATTTTTAAAAGCTTTCTATAAAGACGCCAAAGGCTAAACTTATATCACAGGAAAGCCCGTTTAAAGCTCTACAGTTCTCCGCCAATGAAGAGACGGTATTTAATCATCCCTCGTTCCGCGAAGCATTTGAATGCACGCGTGTCAATTTTTCACCCGGCCGACCTCGCATTCTGACCGCGAGGGGCTTCGCTTTCGTCGGCGATTCTCCAGCTCCTACTAATCGGACATATAAACAATTTACACCATTGTAACGAGGAAAAGCTGAACTTTTACAAGGTGTACAGCATTTGGTGTTTTATAGCGAAAGAACAAAGAAACAGCGATCGGAATTACTCCGATTTTACTGATACCACGCGGTCGGAAGGCCGCGAGTGCCCGCGAGGCCGTGTTTACACTACCTAATTGAATACTGAAAAAGCAGGTGTATTGAAGAGGGACTTGGTTATCAATCTGAATTTTGAAAACGACTTGGATTTTAGATCCAAAATCGTGAGTATTACTATTACTATTACATGTGTTTTCACTCGAAAAATACGCCTTCAAGACTTTAATTCTTGCAAAGAAAGGAAATATGTCTATTTTTAATCTGACAAATTTTAGGAACATAGATTTGGAGGACTGGAGGGGAAATGCGCATTTAATTATGACAGGTGAAAATGACACACTCCGTGTCGTTCTGGTGGAAGGGTGGGGTGGGAGGCGGAAACAACATGGAGCATGTCAGTGTCAGACATTTAACTATTATACCACTTTGCTACATGACAGACTCCCGTCCCAGTAATGTTTCACTGTGTTATTCTTGTCACTGAAATGTTTCCTCAACTCTCCTGCAGGGAAGCTTCCGTGCAGCAGCACACAGGCCAGTCAGACCCTGTCAAGGTTATGGGGGCTTTGAGATCAGCCAAAGACAACTTCAAGGCAAGATAAAGTGGCAGGATGTTTGAGACAGATGTTGAAGCCAAGTTGGAAAAAGTTTTGTACCATAAATTCTTCGCATTGTTGTCCTATTGCTCAATTCAATTTAGAAGAATTGGGGGGCACTATTAATGCTGTGATGAGAGTCATAACTTTTGTTAGTTTGAGGAGTTGAAAGGTCTGTTGTATTTTTCCTTCAAGTGTTATCATTTTTTACCTGTCCCTGTCGTTTTATGCAAGAAAAATTCTGAAATTAAGCAAAATGAGCCAAAAAATGAGAAATTATGCGATTCTGTTAATTTTAACGGAGAATGACAAAGAAAAATTATCAGAAATAATGCAAAAAATGATCAAATTTTGCTAACTTATGCGGGGTGCATAAAACTAAGGGGACAGGTTTACGGTATCTGGTCTGTGTTATTTTTACTATTCTTGAGGATGTCATTTGATTGTTTTAATGCTTTTTTTACATCCTGACAAAGATATTTTTTGTTCTCTGCATCTCCGTTGGGCTACTTGCTTAACCTGAATAAAAGAGGAACTAACTAACTCACTTTGTACTGTCTTTATTTGTCCATGTTCGTTTATGTTGTTGTTATTTGTCCACGTTCCTTTATGTTGTTGTTATGCTGTTATTGATCCAGCAACTGCTGAGGGCTCATATGACCTTATGCAGTTGCGAGCGCCGTAAAACCCTATACTAAACAAAAAACTAAGCAACAGCTGGGCTCTTGCTCTTCTGTCCAATGCCATGTAGTGATAAGTGTGTGTCTGCTGCAGTTGCTGTAATGTTCCATAGAGTGTGTTGTCAATGTTAGGTCTCGGAGGGAGAAGTGTAGCTCTGATGTCATTCAGGGCTGTACAGTGGAAAAGGTGATGTCATTCATTGATAAAATAGTGAACTCGACCACCAGCTGTATATAAATAATTATAGTTCCATTTGGTTTAGACATTGCACCTTTTCATAAAAATATAAAGTTAAGGTTATTTAAGAGGGGAGACATCCAACTGAATGCCCTCTACAATATGACTGAGGCAAGATGGAGAAAAGCAGGGAAACCGGAGACAGTTGATGAAAACCCAGTCAGTGCCATCTACTACACATTCCAGCATTATAAATATGATTATAATACGAGGGAGTTACAAGAAGCCTAAAAATATGAAGGAATAAAGATAGATCTAGAACTTTGTAACTTTACTTTTATTTCTCTACATAGTCACCATGCAGATTAACACATTTCTGCCATCTCTCTTTGACCTTCAAAAGTCCTTGAGAGAAAAATGACCTAGAACTAGAATGGGCCCGAACCATTCTTCAACAGCTTCAATGGCGTCCTTGTCATGGAAACAACTTCCTTTGAGTGATTTTTTAAGATTAGGAAACAGGAAAAAGTCTGACGGGGCTAAGCTAGGTCTCGTGAATAAGCTGGGTGTGGCAGGATTTCAAAGCCGCACTGTTCTGTTGTCTGGACTGCTTGTTGTGCCCTGTGCACAGGGGCGTTGTCATGCAGTAGGAGGACCTCATGGAGTTTTCCACGCCTTTTTCTCACTAAATCGGACCACAATTTTATCAGCAAATCCGAGTAGTAGTAGTAGTCTCTTGTGACTATTTCTATTTTCCAGATAGTCATTATGATACCTTCACACTCCCAGAAACACGACAGCATGACTCATGACCTTTCCACTTGGCGGTGTTACCTTTGCCTTCTTTGGTGAGGAAGAAGAAGGGGTTTATCCATTGCATGGGGGACATTTTTTGTGCTGGATCAAAATGTTAAATCCATGTTTCATCCATAGCCACCACGTTTTAAAAGAAATTTGTGTCATTGGAATCAATTCGAAGGAGAGTTTTGCACTAGGACTCGGCCCTCTGCTTCTTTTGCTCACTTGTGAAAAGGCGGGGTACCCACCGCCCGGACACCTTATTCATGTTAAGATGGTCATGGAGAATCGTTTCAGTTGACCTTACACTGCCATTTCACTTGAGAGCTGTTTTAGTTATTTTATACGTGTCGGTCTTGTAGAACCAGTTTCTTCACTATGGATTCAGAGATGCCAACCACAGAAAACCGAAATGTCAAATGAGTATTGGGAAATATGATAATGTGTATTTTCAGGGGAAAATGTGTATTCCCCACGACCGACCGACCAACCAACCAGTAATAGCAAAATGATCAGGGTGTCCAGCAATATTTCCTGAAAAAAAAATTACTAGCTCACCAGCTCGAAAAAGGGAGCACACACGCGTACAATATACATGTATCCAGTCAACAACATGTTAGTGTTCAGTGTCGTACTGGGGTCTTGTTTGACTTAAGTATTTCAGTCTATAATATAATATTCCCCTCTCATTATTATAAAAAATAAATCCTGCTTTGAGAGTTCGGAAGGGCCCAGAACAAGAATTTCGACTATCAAGAACCAGTCTGGGTGTCATGATTCATATTATGAACTGACATACTCAAATTATTGCTCAAACTCAGAGAAAAGCAATAACTTGAATGGCTCAAGTAGACCCGTGCACTGTGAGAGTTGTAACAACTGTGGTAGGGCAAGATGCAGTGACACTGAAAATCTGCCAGTCTTGAACAGAAAGCTACAACATACACCGTAGGTATAATTTACTAGAAGATTCTAGATCTATTTAGATCTATTACCCATCCAATGAAACGCGAACACTTTATTTCAATAACACAGACTTGCAAAGTGTGAGGAGTCCCGATTCCGCACACGGCCTGCACCAACGCACGCTTTGCAGAAAGCTCTAATCAAAATTCTGAAAGTTGCTTCCAAGTTTTTGTCCTCTGGAGTTGCCTTATAACCCCCCCCCCCCCGATAGTATCTTCTTAAACCCCCAAAAAATCAATAATCTCCTCTCCTATTCCGTAGTCATATACTTGGCAACGCCGTTACTCCCACCAAAGACGGTCTTTGCTCACACGATGCCGCATTTATTTGTGATGCGAATGCGTGCAGGTTCAGTGACCGGTCACGATGGCGAGCCAGACAATCTAAAAATCGGACGACGCTTGCATTTTCTTTTCTTTTTTTCCCCACAAGCGACAGCACAGAGACGAGTCCGAGTATTTAATTTTATTTGCACGGCAACATTGCGTTTATACTGCACAACCTGCATGCCACAAACGTTGCGTTAGCCTATCAGAGAACTGCTGGCAAACTTCTCGGTAGTAACGAAAGCGAAAGTAGCTCTTGATTTTTCCTGATCGAGCCTCGGTATCACATGCGCTTCTGCCTGCCGCCATAGCTGCCTATTCGCATGAAAGTGAAACGTACTCTCCGGACGGGGAAAAGATGAATGAATATAATATCACGATCGCGACCGGCACAAATGAACTTACTGACCACATCGGACTTGGTTTTCAAATATTCCAGTTCTGCGATACTGATACTATTTTGACAAAAGAGGGACTTGAGATAATTAGATTTACTCGCCCAAGCTGAATCTCGTACTTTTCGCATTCCAGGATGCGTATTTTTTCATGAAAAGTCGTATTCGCGTATTTTCGGCAAAAAATCGTACTGGTTGGCATCTCTGTGGATTCATTCTTTTCAGTTACGGTACTACAAATGATGGGCGCCTTGATTTTAATTTTCTTACCTAGTATGTCACAGTATTATAACAAGGCATTTGTCACCATAAACTTGGACCATTTCCTGAAAAATATTCGAAGGGGATTTTCCTTGCAAGTGTAAAAACTTGATAACTGAGCAATATGCAACTGGCTCCATGGCACAGCTTCAGCAAAAAGAAAGAAAAAAAGAAAACAAAAGTCTTTGTCCATGGTTTCATTTAACACACTGACTTGTGCCTCATGATTGTCAGATTTTCTAGAAAATTTGTATGATGTTTTGTGTTCCAAAGAAATTGTTAAAAGGCTGTTGAAATTTCATTACTCTACCATAATTCATACCCAGACCAAAGACTTATTGAACGAACCCCCCTCGTATTTCAACTGAATACTGTTACGTTCCAACTTTTTGTGTTAAGCTTTAGTGTTGTTGCTCTTACTCTCACATTTTAGAAAAAGATTAAAAAACAAATGTGAAAAATAAATAACAGTCTGATATTGATAAAAATTACATGGTTTATTTACAACTGATTTATTTACACAAACAATTGCCACACATAATTTGGCAGCTACTGGGTACTGTATGTGAAACAATGAGCCCGAGAGTCCAATGAAATATCGATCATCTGAGAGGAAAATGGACAAAACACCCAAAAAGTAAACACTGAAGATGTTAAACTTTCTCTGCAATGGCCCATCTTCAAATATGACCTTCTAGATAATGCAATAGGCCATTGCTCTCACTGGTAAGGTTCAGCATCTTTCAAACACTTTATACAAATCGGGCAAATTGGCCAGCTGAATGATTGTGCGGTCAGTCTCAGCATCAGTGTGAGGCAGCAAAAACTGTTTGATAGCTGAATATATCACATGCTCTACTGTCCATTTCCAACCTTGTGATTTGTTGGCAGAGGACTCCTTCGTTTCCTCATCTGTATCCTGTTGATGACAAGAACAAAATATTCTTATGACATAACAACTCTCCCAAGAAAAGCATTCAGGACAAGAGAAACAATTTTTCAGACAAGAGATGGATCACAAATACGCTTACATTTCCTTGGTATTTTCACCACTCATGCAAGGTACATCTTCATTGAAACTACTGATAGGAAGATGGTGGAACATTAAAGAGCCTCCTCTATGGAAAATTATAAAAATGAAAGATGGTGTCAGAGGAGTTTACGAATCCACATGACATTTGACTTCAAACAAAATCATGGTTAAAACTTACAGGCATGGAAAGAGGAGAAAGATAGTAACAGACACATTTTGATAATAGATTTAGAAAAATTTAGCTCGGCAAATTACTGACAATGGACTAGGTAAGATGAGGATGCCCCATATTGATCAGAAACACGCTCTGTTAGTGTACGAGAGAAAGAGAAGATATGCTGTTTGCGTTAATTGTGTTCCAGTCAATGTTTCTCCATAAATACTACTTTCTTTCCATCCTTATAAGGACGGTCCTATCAGAGACGGACGTAAAACTAGGAGGTCCCGCCCCTTAAATAACCTAATAGTGTTGATAGGGGCGTTAAACCCTTACCATTTCACCTTATAAGGAACTTTTGGTTTACAGTGGCTGGTACAACACACACACAAAAATTCACCAATATCAATTGTTCATACAAACATCTGGAAATATCTCTGTGCTGAAACTTATTCCTAGTTTTTTCCAAATCTTTCTGGTGCAGCAAGCCCCTGCGGCAGCACCACTAACTGTAGTGTTTTTAGGCCATTCCCAAATGGGGGAACCTTTCCTCGTTCAAGCACAGTAGAATTGTAAATGGGCTGACTTATGTCACGCTCATAACTGCCTGATCTACAACAGGGAACTGCTGCTTTTTCTTTCCAGATCATTATTATTGTCATTTTCCTCTACTTCTTTTGTATGTTTGTCACTCTCTTGTGACCTGCTATTTGCGGGGTGCCTTGATAGTTGAAGCAGACCTTGTGCTGTTGAAGCTAGAGAGGTGAGCAGTCTAAGTCTGATCCCCTGTAAAGACAGCTCTGTTGACACCCACCACTTGGCGCTCACATAACCTTATGCAGTTGCGAGCGCCGTAAAACCCTCTACTATAATAAATAAAAATAAATAATTTCTGGTGCAGCAAGCCCCTGGACCTCCGTGCAATGAATGTGCTCACTGTGGCGGTCTCCTTTGTGTCTTCGGCATTCCAAGTTCAAACCCAAAAAGTTTCACAGCCCACTTGCAAGTCTGTCCGTTGCTAAAAGGCACAATCTCTAAACAAAACACACTTTTAGTGACTACAGAGATCATAAAAGCAGTAAGGAAAAGACTACAGGTATATATATAAACTAAATTGAATTTGGTTAATTGACCAACCATGTTTTCTTCTTCCTCAGTGGGATTTAGCTGACTCTTCTTGAAAGCGTAGAACTGTGCCGTTTCCTGGCAAAACGTGTCGAAGCACTCCTTCTCAGAATCCCAGTTCACCTGAAATGATAGTCAGATACTTGACTCTTTTGAAAATGCAACACAGAAAACATCCAATAACATGTACACAACTGGGCAAACACATCATTTCATCCATCATAAGTGACAATTATACTGTGGAACTAAGATTTAACAAGGTTGCCGGGCCTGACCTAAAATCTCGTCGAATCCGAGTGTTCGTCACAGCAAACATGAGATTTTTGTGTAGATATATATTTACAGGCACTGAACAAGTAATGTATAAAGGGAAGTCACAAGTGGTGCCTGAAATACCTGCATATTATGAGCTGTGCAAAAAAAGACAGATTCGTTCAAATACACACCTGTGACATCTCGATTGTTTGACAAAAAGTTGTGTTGCTGTGTAGAGCCCAGCATAGGCAAACTTTTGATTCCATAGACCAGTGCACAATTCATTACGGGTTATTTTTATTGATTTTAAAGAAGAAGAAAAAAAAGGTGGGGGGGGGGGGGGGGGGAATCCATCTCCTTTCGTTGAATCCGAGTTAGTTCCACTGTAATAATAATAATAATAGATTGCATTTATATAGCGCATATCCACTTATGCAATGCTCTATGCGCCTAATTATGGGAGGATAACAAAACAAAACAATGTGCAGGATTTAAAACTCAAAGTGTCTTCATATGGGGTAAAGATTTCACTTCGTTAGAGTAAAGACGAGTCGAATTAATGAAGTTTTTAAAGAAAATATCGATGTGCACACAAGCACAATCTGAATGATGCTCATGGAAAGTTTTTTCATACGAGGGGCAAAGAGGCAAATTTTAAAAAACCCATAGATTTGACATGGCCATGTCATACCTCTGTTGCAAGCCTAAGGATATACATAGGGAGGTTGTCAAGTGGTGGAACATACTGGTCAAGCAACATCGGTAGGGTCAACAAGTCACCATTCTGTTGATAAAACAGATGATTAGCTCGTGTAAATAAATAAAAGAAAAAATTCAATGGAAGGATAACTTACTTAACATACTGTGAGAGATAAAATAAAATAGATCTTTAAAATTTCTTTTTTTTTTCTAAAACAGAGTGCCTGAATGCCTTGCTAATTGTACCTACCTGGTACAAGAAAGTGGGAAACGGATGCGAATACAGATATATAAATATATATAAAAGGAGTATCATGCACTACCAATTCTTTCTGAATTAACTTGGCATTGTAGTCATTTGCAATCATTCAATGATGGAAAGAAAAGTCACATTACATAATTAACTATGATGAAGAGATCATTCTGATTAAAACAAATAAAGGTGCACTAGAAACAAATGAAAGAAATAGTTGCCTTGGTAACTGCATAATTTTAGACGACTGCAACCAACCACTACACCTTCCCCCAAGTTAACAAAAGTAATGAAATTTAAAAAACAAAAAAGCACCAAAAAAAACCCAACAAAAAAACAACAAACGAGGAAAAACAAAACAAAAACAACCGTAAGTTAAAAAAAACCTTGAAACCCCCCCCCCCCCCCCATTTAAATGTAATAAAAGTAATCTGATTATGAAAAAGAACCCCCCCCGCTTGATATTAAAAGGTTGTGGGACTTTATTTTTCCACGGCATCAGATCAAAATGTAGCACTTTGAGTGACCAGCAAAGTGCTTACTTCGTCTATCTCCAAACTGAAGTAGTCCTGCAACATTGAAGCCTTTGAGACCAGAAATTGGACAACATAGTCCGCCATGTCTTCTTTTGGCCCATCAGCCGGAGTCCAGCCACTGCTGTCGCAGCTCAGAGCCAGCAACACCAAGTCTCGGACTGGAGCTGCTTCCTAGATATGAGTTGGTGTTGAAAAGAAAAAAGAGAACCACATATCAACAATCATAAGCAAATTAATATGTCACAAAAATTTTGTTACTCATAATTTTGTTCTTTTAACCGCAGATTCTTCAAAATTTAGTAGAAGTAGAAGTACAGTTGACAATGTCTAAGACAGCCACCCATTACAGAGAGACAGCCACCCATTACAGAGGAGAAAAGTGGCTGTCTTAGGCAGGATGCCTGCCACCTCACACAGTGTCACTTTAATGTAAAAAAAGAAATGTGAGGGGGAAAACAGTAGTGGCTGCTTGAGCATGCTCAACTGTATTCAAAAAGTAAAGCATAATCATAATGAGCCAGCTAAAAAAATAATATGAAAGAAAAAGCTGACAATGTAACTTTTCTGAAAAGATGCAATAATGCCTCATTGCCGACCCAATCTTCTCCCCTTTTCGTTGTCTACTCTCTACTTTGACTCAAATACTGACATAAGCACACTTGCATGCTTTGTCCACTACTCGCTCACTGCCTCTTTCCGTTTAGTAAAAATATTCATTACGATTCTTTCTACTTACCGACAATCTCAGTACTCCAAAGTTCCCGAAATCTTCCAGTAGGAGCTGGTAGAACAATTCTTTGCTGAAAAAGAATCAAATATATATCAAATTACACAACATAACCTCCAAACCAAAGGGATAAATAACAAGATAATAACATCAACTTTTTTCAAACGTTTAAAAGCAATGTGTAAATGAGACATGTGGAGTGTGATATGATAACCAATCCATGTGTGATGGCAAACATGTATGTTTAAGACTGTCACCTCATTTTGTGGAAAATCCAAAGAAACTGAGGGGTAAACATCGTGAATCGGCGAGATAGTGTGGCAAGGTGTCAAACACTTGTTCGTAAACAGGCATGCCGGTATGGTGACAGGTGTACATGTGGTGACAGGTGTACATGTGGTGACAGGTGTACATGTGGTGACAGGTGTACATGTGGTGACAGGTGTACATGTGATAACAGGTGTAATGTGGTGACAGTAGAAAGTGTACGTATGTTCAAATGTAACAAAAGCAAAAGAAATCTCTTCCCTAGCAATTAAAAATTTCTGCCTCAAATCAACAGAACACAAGTAAGTAAGTAAGTTTATTCAGTGTTTAAGGCCATTGGCCCACATCACATCACATAAAGCACTCATTTGATAAATAAAGAACAAAAGAGTGGATTATTTGTGAATGGCAAACACCCTCATTGATACAATCTCAATCATTCAGGAGGCTGGCTGCTTCAACACAGCCTGTAAGGGCATCCAAGCAAAAAGACTGAAGTACTCGATAAAATAAACTAACTTCCCAAAGTAGGAATCAAAATTATGTCTTCTGTGTGAAACAACAGTCTAACCATTGTTGGTAACCATACTCAAATACATATATATATATATCACCACACTGCCTCACATATATATATATATATATATATATGAGGCAGTGTGGTGAAAACCGGTGCTCGGCAAAATAATGAAAGTCAAGAAAGTGGCATTTTTCCGCAGGTTTGAGAGTTTTTTTAAATATAAAATTTTAATGTTTTAAATTTTTAGCCCAACACCTTCCATGTCAACCAAATAACACGTTTCTGGGTGGATTGTATTGAAAAACGTCAAAGGCATAAAAAAGTGCAAATATTTTGCTTCCATAGACTTTTAAGCTAAGGAAATAACTTAACTTCGGCGGCCATTTTCTCACTAATTTTAACTTTGAGTGAGACCAGCGGCCCCCACCTATTTCATTCGCAAATATCTCCATTTGTATTCCGAATAAATGGATATTTTTTCATAAAAAGCAAGACAAATAAAAAAGCTTTAAGATGATACCAATGATTCCACATGCCTTAAAATTGACGAGCGCCTGATTCCACCGCGTCGTGACACACATGATTAAAAAAAAAAAAGTAAACATTGTGAATACTCAGAATACAATCCCAAAGACTGACCTCAGGGTTGTCGTATTCACCAAATATAACTTTGTGCTGTGTTGCACTAAAGCATGGCTCTCGCTGACACAGCCCACAAAGGTGTGATTCTGAAGGAGCTCTCTCATTCCTGGAGGAGGAAAAAAAACAACAATAAACAACAGTCAATGTCCCTTTTATCCACATATTGCATTTATCGAAGTGGTGACACATACAGCTATCTGTCACACAAATTTGCTCATCCACCATTGGTGTTCACAGTCTCCCTTCATTACGGACAAAATCTTAAACTGTTAATACTGACAAAATTTAACAAAGGCACATCTCAAAATCATCCGACCTAGCTCACATATTCCTGCAGGGCGTATTACAAAGATCGAGAAGAAGAAGCAGGTAGAGGTGAAAACATGGTAGGACAATATCCAATAATAAAGAGACCTAGAGCTGAATGGCGCCTTGAGGGAGTCAGAGAACATCGAGGGATAGAGGGAGCAGGTTGCCAAGTCACCGTAGTGCTCCTACCTTCAATGACGATAGGATAAGGAGAGAAATGAACCCCCCCCCCCATGAAAAACAGATAGTTTAACCGAGTATTCAGGAAACAAAAGTAGGCAGACCAAATAACAACTTCTTCATGACCAAAAAGGAAAATTTCTCAGAATAGCCCCCAATAAGCGGAGTTTTGTGAAAAAATAAGTCACCTAGATTCCAGTGGACTCATCATCATCAAGTGCCAGATCTGCAACAGACTGCGGCGATCATGGTTTTCCAATCATACCTTTGCTCGGATGCTCTCAAAAAAGCTACGTTTCCCTGATCTTTCCCTGTTACCCATTTGTTTAGGTTCCCCAAGTATGTTGTTCTGGGCCTACCCCTGCCTCGCTTGCCCTCAGTGGACTAAGACCCTAAAATAAATCACCTGATGTAAAGAAAACAATAAGCGAGCCAACTCTCGAAGTGATCTGAATACAGCGTAGTTCACATGAGCAGATACCTGCAATTTCTATTCCCTACAGCACCATTTCTGGTTACCATCAATCACATAGTCAACTAGCCGAAAAAAAATAAGATTTTATGTAAAACTGTCCTTTAAAAGCCCCCCCCCCCGGATAATCTCTTTTTTCTCTTTTTTAAGCCCAATGGCCAGCCTGAGTACATTACCTTCACTTGCATTATCTCGGATTTCTTGTCTCAACTGGGCCACACTGGTGAGTTTGATATCTCTCCGTTTCACTTTTGGGGCTGCACTGTCATTTTCCTTGCTTGATGCTGCAGTTTCTGTGCTGCTGCTACTAGCGTTACTGAAAAGAGACAGTAATTCAACGGGTTGTTTGTTTTTGTTTTAGTAGAGGTTTTACGGCGCTCGCAACTGTATAAGGTCATATGAGCGCCAGAAGATTAGAGGTGTTAAAAGAGAGTAACAAACATTAAAAAGAAGGAGGGGAGATAAGGACGATAGATGTTTGATAGGAAAGAAGAAGCAAACCCCACCAGAGCACCTGCCAACCACCCACTCATGGGGTTGAAAAAGCTAGTGAAGCTATAGCTTAAGACAGAGGAAGAGTAACCGAGGATACAAAAGAGGAGAACAAAATAACATTTATGTGCTTGTTTAATAAAGTTAGTTTACCTCGATTTTTCTTGTGTTCTAGTTGAATGAGTTGACACAGACCTCCCAAGGAAAGCGTCTAATTTTTGCTCTTTGCTGTCTGTTCTCACCATATCTTGAGCTCTCACTGATTCAGCGCCTGATAAAAGCAAAGGCTTAAATTAAATCCTCTCAGTTTACATTTCATTCAAAAAACTGAAACCACACACTAAAAATTAATATTTTCAACAGATGGCTAAATTTATCCCATAATTCCCCCCAGAATAAAAGAAATCACAAACTTGGTCAAATGAGATCAGCAAGAGGCCAATGTGATAAGCCGACAACATACCAGACACAAAGCAAAACAACTTACTGTTGCTTCTTTCCTGACATTTAAGTCCAGATGAGTGTCAAACTATAATTTTTTAGTACTATTACTATTACAGGGACAAGTAAAATGACAAATGATGTCTATTTGCCACCTCTCTAAACATTTCCTACGAAAAAAACAAATTCCTTCATGAAGAGGGAAAAAATTAACACAAAGTTCGTGGAGGATTACTGAAGTAAAAATATAATCCCTATCCCTGGCTTTCTAGATACTTATAATATTCTACTTCAAATATGCATTTTACAGACAACCTAAAGTGTTACAAAGAGTTTCTGCAATGCTTCTTAATCTGACCTTCCTTGCCTGACTCTTCCTTTCTCTTAACATCATCTGGGATAACAGTCGGGAGCATTGCCTGTGATGACAACAACAAGCAAAATGTCAGAAATCACGCTTATGAAAAGTGTAGTCAAATAGAACAGTCGAACCTGCTCAAAGGGCCACCTGTCTAAGACAATCACCTGCACAAACGATTGCTTCCCCCCCCACCCCTATTTAGTGTTTTTTTCTGTATTAAAATGACTCTGTTCTGACACAGATTCTTTTCGTCCCCTCCTGCCCACCCAGCAGTAATGGGTACCTGACTTCGAGTTGGGGAAGTAAAGGCGGCGTGGAAAGAAACTGGCCACCCTACCACAATATGCCGAAGGCCCAGGAAGTTGTCTCCCTAACAAGGCAATCCTCAATGTCCGGATCGGATGCGGGAACAACTTTACTTTTTAATGACTCTGTTCATGATGTCCACCTGTCCGCAACAACCACTTTCCTCCTCCACAATGGATAGCCGTCTCTGACAATTTCAACTTTACTACATTATGAACTCAACTCAGAGAGCACATAATTTTCACTGGAAAAGCTAGAAAAGAGATGCAGATACCATGTCCTAGGCTTTACCACGGCATAATTTACCATCTCATAGATCATCACCCTTTGACAAATTTTAAATTAAAACTGCAAAAGAAGACTACCCATACCATAAAGTACCAAGAGCACTGCAACAGCAATGCCTGTACCTGAGTGAAAAAAGTCCTGGATGTATTTGCTCCGAGAAGTTTTTCTTCTACAGCAGCTTGTATTGACGATATAATGGAATCCTCGTGCAGGAAGTGAACTTCATGTTTTGTGGGGTGAACATTCACATCAACATTCTGGGTGGAAATTTCCAAACTGCAAAAATAATAAAATTAAAAACAAAACTAAACTGAGTTTCAAATTATATGAGAAAACAGAACAAAAAGAAGCAAATTGTTTCTTCTATATTTGTGGCAACAGGACCCACTGACGTATTGTGACATTTTAAGCTTGACACTTATATCTTCGACAAAAACAGTTTATACCTAGCTGATCATTAGGCAGAACTGTAAAAATATACACGTCAAATATTAAATTGTACACTCTCCGGTTCATTCAGAGGGTCATACAAGATACAGGGGGGGGGGGGGGGGCAAAATCAAAGTCTTATGCCACTTTCAACAAAAGTTAGAGAACTTTGGGGAACTCCAAATGTCAATCTCCCCTTTGGAGAACGAGATGAGACCTGAAAACTTTTAACCCAACAAATGCAAAACCAAAAAACGCCAAACCTGGACAATGGACACCATGAGGCAGTGTCTTACCAACTTAGCGAACTTACTGCAGGCTGAAGAAACAAAAATACTTACCTCATGTAAATGAATGGGTGTGTTCCTTTTGGTAGATATGCTTGATAGACTGTGTCCAGTGCCTTCCGGATGCCTGAAGAGTCCACCAACCTGTCTTTTTAAACAAAAACCAAAAAAAATAATCAATAATTCTTTTTACAAATATATATATATTTTTTAATAAAAGAGAAACAAAGAAGACTTCTCTTGTTAGTGACTGGTATGGTAAAAACATCACCATCATAACTTTAATTCCTGAGCAGTTTATAGTGATGGGGATTATGTGCTACCCATAGGTCTGTGCTGACAAATATGTCAGTGGCTTTCTAGACTGGCCTTTGAAGCATTACATATGTAGCCAGATATCGTTTCATGTTCTCCTCTTATGTTTCCACAGAGTGAATCATGTGTGTAGAAAAGTAAGAGTGTCTTTGAACAAGCATTATGTCACAGCAACATGAACATTGTTTACCTTTATTTGACATTGTTGTTCCATAGAGGTACCCATGATTTAAAATGATCATGAGTATCAAGTTTGAATTTCCCTGAAACCTCGTATTAAGAAAACAGTATGTCAGATCCCACTAACTTCTTCGATGGAAGATTCACTGCCCTACGAAAACAGAAATTTAAGTGTCTTTGAGGAAAAAAGCAAAAGAATGCACATGATTCGCATTGAATGCACTTGCAATACATTAAAACAACACATACTGCCTATAGTTGAATCTTGCGACTTATTTAAGTGTCTCCAACAAATAAGCAAAATTGAGGGTGATGGGTCTATCTAAAAGAGTACAACGGAGATCTACCATAGGACAGAACTTCAGACACAATGCACTAGGAACGAGTTTATATGTTCTGTATTACCAAAATGAAATTTCTTTTGTACATCACTGATCTCATACTGTTACGTCATATCAGCACACAGGGATCCCCCCATCAACCTTCTATATGCCTCTTGACAACTTTTATAGCCCTTCCAAAAGAGCTAAAAATTAATTAAATCTGAATGAAATATTTTAAAAAAACCAATACTTACGATTGATAAAAAGGAGGAAAATTGACTTTTTAACTGAGTAGTTTGCATTGCTGATGAGAGCTTTCATTGCAAAACCCAACTTGGTGTCTTCTTTTGAAACTTCGAGCAATTCTCTGAAAGCAAAGGAACATGAGCATTAGAAATGACAAGCTGCTAAAAAAATCATCAAATTAAAAAGACACCTATTCAAAATCCAACATCTCATGAAAAAAGGGTTGCAGTACAATTGTCTCTGCCTATGATCTCGGAGCTTGGGAGCAAGGAAAATGCAGGATCTTAACCCTATCCGTACGCCCTGGGGTCATTTTGCACCCTGGGGTTGTATTCTTCACATTTTAGAATACTTCTAGTGCAGAGATCTCCTTCAAAATTTCAGTATTTCTCAAAAAATCATTTTGACAGACTGCTATGCAAAGCGTACGGATTGGATTAACGAGTAAATTTCCTCTTTGGAAAGTGGTGGCACAGAGTTCCACACGCCGTATGGATACAATAGTAAAATACGACGTACGGATAAGGTTAAGCAATGGAGATCTTAACTGAATAACCAGGGGAAAGAATCCATGGCGACTCACAGTCAAGTCCACACTCAGTACAATCAACCCTTACATTTACTTTGAAAATGAAGTGATGTGACTCCAGGTTTTTTTGGAGGTCAATTTTTATTTAAAACACTCTGTTCTGATGGCACCAATGAAAATTTCAAGAACAAAAGGCAGGCTCACTGCCAACAGATGACCACATTACACAACAGTGACCAGACAGTTCCCAAGTATGGGCATCTGTCTGTCTGGCAAATTTGTGCAGGGGCTGAAAGAAAAGTGCCATGGTCAGGGAAACAAAAACTAAAAACACCAGTGAGTTCATAGTTTCATGTGATCCAATCCGATGTCGCCTCGTAGGCCCTTCCCACCCAGTGTTTCTTTCTGAGAGTGATTTTCTGTCTAAAATCATACGTCAATTTACTTGATCAATGCGCAGATTTTCCAGCTGTGGCAACAATCCGAAGATAGACAAAAAGAATGAGAGAAAGGAAGAAAGGAGGAAATTTCCACAAAAAGTTTGCTATCATGGTTAGCCAAACTTGGACCAATATGTTGGTTAAAAATGTATTGTCGACCAACCCGTAATGAATGCATAGCGAGATAATGACGGATTGTAGGAAATGCGCTATCTGGCAGGTTTCTACAACATTAACTTATATTATTGCTGAGAGAATTGCTATGCATATCCGGAACTTATAAAAGACAATACGAAAGCGAGTACGGATCCTTTGCTGTGGAATTTTGGTAGCCTATACTATTGCATTTTTTGTTGTTGATAATGATGGAGAAGCAAGTACGGAACTGTCGGAAAGTACAGACTTTCGTAAAAATACGAAAGATTGGAAGCACTGGGCCTGCCTGAGTACACTACCTTCACTTGCATTATCTCGGATTGCTTGTCTCAACAGGAAAAAAGTAAAAATGTGTTTTTGTTACATGTTCTGTTCTAAGATAAGGCACCCCACCCTCAGTTTAAAAAAAAATCTGAGACTTCCTAACTGATGGCTTTATGTCATCACTATGTAATGTGACTTTTAAAAATGCTAAGTAAATTTACCTGCTCACAGAAACGCCATAAATCGCCCGGATGTTGTCGACGTAAGTTGAGCCACTTGGTGTCCTCACATCAGCCATGCTCTCCCCTTGCTGCAGAATGCAAAGTTGAAAACAATCAGCACACCGGGTGTGCCTGCCAGAATCGCTTTCAATAGGAAAGAAGAAAACCACACCAGAGTGGAAGATGGGACAGAAATTGAACCGAAATATTTACATCTCATTTACTGTGCATTTTTATTTAAAGTTCTCGTGAAGTTCACTAAAAGGGGTAAAACAAGGACTAATTGCAGTGAAATCTGCTTAAACTGAAATCTGCGGGACTGCCGGATTTTCTTCGGTTTCCGTAGGACTTTCTTCAGTTTAGAGAGGTTGCTCAAATAGCAACAACTGTCAATAGAGTTGGGAATGCTATGCTTGTGGAAAGTTTCACTTTTTGAAAGTTTTCTCATCTTCCTCTTTCAAGTAGAACAATTTGAGCCACAGGCTGTACGCATTGTGCCTTCTCTTTGACAGCGTCAGTTTGCTTAATCTATTGAACAGTCATACAGAACAGACCAAAGAGTAGATATAATAGAGGGAGAAAGAAAGCCCAATGCCAGTGACATCATGAAACACTTCACATGCTGTCAAGTGCTCATGGGTAGGGTCTATGTGAATTAGCTTTGCAGAGAATAAGCCATAGCCAACCAAAGGTCGGAGAGAGACAGCAACCTGCGTGGAAAAGCCAGAAGAATATCCAACCAGCTGTTAACTGGCATGATCAGCAGACAGACCTTTTCATTGATCCTGGAGAGGAGGAAGGAGCAGCTATGGAACTGTGCAGCCTGCAATGATGCCTATTCTCCAACAAAGTAAGTATCAATATAAATGTGTTCTTGTGTATCTTTCTTTTGTTTTGCTATCTTGAAGTGCGTAAGACTTGACGATTTGCGTTACTGGAGAGTGAGAAGATTTAGATGACAAAACGCTCGAAATGCTTTTTGATTAAGAAGTGGGAGCATTTCGGCTAATCAATATTTTCCTTACAAGGACGAAGAAGAAAAAAATCAGAGGTTTTATTTTCTTTCAGTATAATGCTGTTTTCGTACTAACTGTACACCACAAATTTCACAGATCTGGGTGTATAGTAAATGACTATATATATATTTTTTACAGTAGAGGGTTTTATGACGCTCGCAACTGCATAAGGTCATATGAGCGCCAAGTAAATGACTATCTGAAGCCTGTATTCCATACCTTTTTCAAAGTAAAACCCACAGTGCAGTTATGAATTGCATATCTGAAAAGAAACAAAAAAAGTTGCACAGTATTGCACTGAAGATCAGGAGGGTGTGAATTCTATCTATAAATTCAACAAATTCTCATTTATAATGAATACAAATTTACGACATGAAATAGAACATGACAATGTGTTTAAACAGTACTATTGACTCTAGAACAAATTTATATTTTTTATATTTGATCCGTCATTTTTTTGTTTCGCATGCAACATGACAGAGAAGGAAAAAAACAAACAAATTTAGACGTGCCACACCATTTCTTAAATATTATACTCAGCAACATAGCTTACTGCTTATTGGATAACACGAGTAGAATTTTCAGTACACAAACTGCTTCAGACAAAAGTAGTAATGCTAATTTGGTATATAATATAATCACTTTAGCACAACTCATTAAAAAAAATTAATTAAAAAGAAAAAAGCAGCTGAGAAATATGCCGTAACTCATTTGCTCCTAAAGTCAACACTGGCATTGTGAAAAAATAGTAACACAGAAAATCAGAGTTTTACTGCACTTGCAACACAAACAGGTCACATAAAACAAAAGATCAGAGGTGTTGCCAAGAGAGTAACAAACAATGAAAAGAGGGAGGAGAGATAAAGATGATAGATGTTTGAAAGGAACCATAACAAAATTAAACTCTTGAAGATGAAATATGACCCCTAAAATTTTTTTAAAAAGAAGCCACATACATTTTACATAAAAAGAGTTACAAACCTGCTCACTACTTCAACTACTTTAGCATGTTCCTCAGCTGGACTTCTCAGGGCCTTCCGTCGTGTAGACACATTGTAGAACAAGTCCTCTGCCTAGAATCATTAAAAAGACAAATATGTGGCACTGAAATATTTAAAAAGGAAAGTAAAAATGTGAGGCAGCGTGGTGGAATCAGGCTCTCGCCAAAATAATCAAAGTAAAAAAACTTGCATTTTTCCGTAGATTTGTGAATTTTTATCAAATTTTTGTTTTTTGGCTCAACATCTTTCACGCCCATAAAAGCACTCATTTCTGTGTGGATTTTCCTGAAAAATGTATACAGGCACAAACAAAATTTTCAGTTGCCATGGACTCTTAAGCTAAGGAAATAACTACTCTTTGGCGGCCATTTTCTCACTAATTTTACCTCTGAAAACAGGTGACCCCCACCTCCTTCTTTCGCAAATATCTCAACTTGTATTCAAGACAAAATGATTTTTTTTCATCCAAATAAAGACAAGTGAACAAGCTTTAAGATGATACCAATAACTCTACATGCCCAAAAATTGACGAGAGCCTGATTCCACCACGCTGCCTCACAAATGTCCTATCACATTTCGCTCCTTTACATTTAGACACCCCACATAATGTTTTTATTTTAATGTCCTGAGCAAAATTGTTAGTTTTGCTTGACACCCCCCCCAAAAAAAATTTTTTTTAAAATAGCCAGAAATGGTCAAAGGTATGCCTGGTAAACATCTGAAAGTGCAGACCAAAAAGAAAAGAGACAATTTAGGCACATTTCTTTACTTCCCAACAACTGTAGCTCTTAATGACACATTAACAATAGAAATGCTAGAAAGCTGTGTGCTTTTATATTCTTCTTTTTTACTTTACGTTCTCCTGCTAGCTAGATCTCAAGCTTATTTAACTGGCACTTCTGTCTTTTTCAAAATGTTGGATTGGCACTTATGCACTTCTAGCATTCAGCCCTTCAGTTGCAGTGAAGCTGCTGAAGAGAAATATGCCAGGCACATAGAAAATACTCCAAGAAATGTCCCTAGTAAGAGATATAGAATGACAGACTTACCGTTATTTGAGTGCCCATGTTTCCAGCACATGGCTTCACTGGCTCTTTGAGTCTTCCATCAGAGTACATTCCTCTGTTTTAAGATACATGACAGAAATATGTGAAATATTCAGTTCATTAAAATGACAAAAGGATTCTTCTAGAAACAGTTATTTTTACTGGGTTTTCCCAACACGCTTATTTCCTTTCACTCTGACATGTGCAACAACAATTAGATCTGAATGTCCGCACAAAACACGAAATCATGTTGAGGGCACATCTTTAAGATAAGCTGCAAAGAGATATAACATTGTTTTAAAGAAAATTGGGAAGAAATGTATTACTTAGTGTAACAATCAATTATCTCTCAAATAGCCAGTTTGAACACATCATTTCGTCCGGTTTTTTTGGTGTTCTTGATACAAAAACTCATGAAGAGTATGTTAAAAAGCCAAACCTGAATAAATATATTCATGCTGCTACAGATTCTACGCAAATCAATAATAACAGAATAAAACAAACAGACAGGAATATTCAGACTCAAATATCTACATTGGCAAAACAAGCAAAAAGCATGTTGAAATTATTGTAACATTTTAATTCGACTGAAACAATATAAACTTTTAATACTGGGAAATGCTAAATTCAGTCTGAACTTATCATTTGATCACAAACAAAACCTGTGAGTAACGTTATACCTTCAAGATTATGTGGCTTGCACTGCTCTAATAGAAATGTTAAATTGAAGAAAAGAATGTCACTGAAATTCTACTTTCAATTTACACCATACCACAGGCTAGGACATGTACCCCAGTGGTCTCAAACTCAAAATCACCCAAGGGTGGCTGGAGGTAGTCCTGGTGAGTATGGACCACATCAAATTTTTTTTTTTTTTTAAAGGTTTGAAGTGTTAACAAAAAGTGCATCTGATATATTCTTTTAATTTTTATTTATAGCATTTCAGAACATAAATGTTTCTTCATCACCAGAAGCTGTCACAAACCCTCGCTACGGTAGCTCACAAGTGATAAAACAGTATAAAATTCCATGACAACACAGAAGCAAAAGGTGTGATATGTTTGACCAAAATTTGTGGGCTCGACTAAGAGTTAACTTTGAGGTTGAGTAGAGGCCACAAAATATCATTCTGCTAACTTCAATTGACCCGTGGACAAAGAATTGAGATGCCTGATTTACACTGTCATTCTCTTTACAAGTGTTGTCTTCTTCTCCATCGCATCACACTAGAAGTGGGGGGGTTTTGTGGTCTAGAGGTTAGGTGTTTGCCTCTCATTCAATGGGTCCCGGGTTCGAATCTGGGTGCCAATGGAGAACTTTCTGCTCTAAAATTTTCTCCTTTCACATCCTTTCATTCTCTCGAACAATGTTCTGTCGTCTCCTTTCATCTCCACTTTCTGCCCCCACCCCCTCACCTCCTTTCCCCCGTCCTCTGGGCTCCTGACTCTTTCTGCAGCCTTCCTACTACTTCTCTTTGGCTCCTTCTTACTGCTGTCTTTCAGCCACATCCCTGATCTTATAATAGGAAAGATTTTCACCTAGCATTCTCGGATAAGGGCCAAAAATCTCGCAGGACCCATGTGCAAGTTGCGCACGTTAAAGATTCCTTGGTGGTCCAAAATTGATAAGGGTAGATTTCGGTCGCTACCCAGGCAAAATTCAAAATTTCCTACCAACTGAAAATGTGTCATGTGTCCCGTGCGCTCATATGACCTTATGCAGTTGCGAGCGTCGTAAAACACTTAAACAAAAAAAACCCAAAACACTTGAAGTCCAGTATCTATCATATACTGGGCCGTACAGCTCTGTTCTTCTGTCCGCCTGTACGGCTTCTCATGTAGTGTCAATGGGGTTGGCCATGTTTCCTGTCTGAGTGCCCTGTGTGTCTTGCAGTGCTAAAGGATGCCTAAACTGGCATGCAGGCCACAAGTTTGAGATATTTGAAATACACTTTCATTCGCTTTATAAGTGTCTTGAAACTATCGTTTGTCTTATACCTATATGCACACTTGGAGTCTGCTGTTCTTGTAGTGATGGTCACATGAGCTACATGGCTGATACTGGCAAGAGCCTCCCCTCTGAAACCGTACGTATTAATGCTGTTCAGGTCTTCGAACTGTCGCAGTTTGCTGGTTGTGAATCTTTCACACACAATTTCCATATCATCTTTCTGGAAATAGAAAGTCAAAACATGCATAAGCTTAAAACGTTTTTGACAACCAACAAACAAATAAGATCTCAAATGATGCAACCACAGAAAAGTGATAAAATACTTTAAAGAAAACAACACACACACCATCTGAAATATTGTTTCTGAACAGTTCTTTATGCAAGATGAAAAATTTACAAATTATACAAGTTTTAAATTAAAACCATGACAGACGTTGATAAAAAATTAGACATTTCAAATCATTATGTCAACTGAGGATACAGAAACTGATACGTCAGCAAGTCCGTTGTGTAAGAAAGAAGAGAAATATGGAGAAAATCAAAATAATTCTCAGTTCCCAGTACCAAAAAAACCTTCAAAGTGTCAGAAAACTCTGGGATCTTTCATGCACTATTCTGTGAAACTATTTTTATTGAGCACCATCACAAGACACACTGTACCTTAATTCCGCATCCATTGTCTTGTATCTGCAGCATCTTCAGCCCTCCTTGTTTTACTGTCACTTGAATATTAGTTGCCCCTGCATCCAGACTGTTGAAGATATCATTTATCAAAACAACTATAACTAAGTCATTCCATCCTCCTACTAATTGCAATGATGATTGACTGTTTAATATGCCGAAACTACAAAGGCAACACTGGCATTGTGAAAAAATAGTAACACAGAAAAGCAGACCAAAAAACAAAACAAAACAAATAACGTTTATTTAAGAAGACAAACCTATGACAGAGACATTGAGCTGACGTCACATTGAGAACAAGACACTTTGTAAAATTATCATCCTCCAAATTGTGAGGCACACATCAACAATATTTCCTTAAACATTACCACTCCCAAGTGAGAGATTTGTTTTAGTAGAAGTTTTACGGCGCTCGCAACTGCATAAGGTCATATGAGCGCCAGAAGATTACAGGAGTTCCAAGAGAGTAACAAATATAAAAAAGAAGGGGAGAAAAGGACGATAGATGTTAGATAGGAAAGAAGAAGCAAACCACACCATAGCACCCGCCAACCACCCACCAAGTGAGAAAGGTGCAATCTTTTTTTTCTCAATTATTAGAAAGACTTTCTAGTTATTTCAAGCCCCTCTAAAAAAATATTCAACGTACACACACACACAAAAAGATAAAGTGTCTCTTTTGACTACAAGCACTATGTTTCAACATGACAAGAAGCAGACTGAGCTTGAAGAGAGTCACCTATTTTCAATCATTTCCTTGAGGGCATTGGCAGGCCTCTGAATCACCTCTCCAGCTGCTATTCTGTTGACCACAACTTCATCAAGGCGCTTTATGGATGGTCGCGACTCGGAAGCCATGTTGAAGTCAAATCTCAGAGAATATTGTTGGAATCACTTCAGATCACTTCTCTGTTTTCATCAAATCTAGAAGTAGAGGAGCAGAAATTTTACATGAATGCTGAACTCGCTAGCAATAGATAGATTGTAATCATTGTTAGTATCACACATGATGTGAAGGTCTCTCTCCTCTGAGTATTGCTCGCCTTCTCATTCTCTTTTTTTATCCCTGTCTTTCTTTCTCCCCCACCTACTTTCCTACTCGATCTTTCTCTCGTTCCCTCCTGTCAATTAGGGCATGGCATGTGATATTTGCTTGGACTTCCCCCTGTTCTCTACCCCCCCCCCTCTCCTCACACATAAACACACACTATCTCTCTCTACCGGGTAGGCCTGTGAAGTGAGGGAGTAGTCAGCGCGATCAGATCGATCCCTTAAGACGACCGCTCGGCTTGATCCCTTTCTAGACGCGTCCCGATCTCGATCGCTCCCTGAATCGCTCACTCACTCAATTGTTCATTTGATTGTCCCTCTTGTAGAAAGAGACCTGCTGTCTCCAAACCTAGCGTGATTTAAACGCATCCACAATATTAAAGATGCATATATCTCTGTAAAATAGAATTATAGGGCCTATTATTTTCAAACACAAGCGTGGAAAAACAAGCAAAAACAAAGAAAGACGAAGAGCTGGGAGGACTGACCGATCCCGATCGAGCTGAGCCGGTGGTTTTACTCCTTTTTTTATCTCAAGAAAAAAATATGCATGAGTAGTGTAAATAGATCTATAAAACTCGATAACCATCCACCCAATAGAAAAGAGGGTCAGATTTCTCCGTCCCTCGGACAGTACCTGCCTCGCTAAACCAGGGGGCGACTATCGTCCGCTAATTAAAAATTTTTAAAAAGAAAATCTATAAAACTCACTGTGCCGTGCAATCTTCTTTGTTTGGTTCATGTCTTTAAGTTTTAGGTGTCTAATCCTTTGTGTGTTGTTTATGAATTGATTTACCAATATAAGTAGCTTGGTGATCTCAATGCCTGTTATAGTTGAAAACACTCACAAAAGCAGTTTATTCATGGATTCTTTAAGTACTGTATTCAACGACACTGGAAGGGAAGACTGCAACACCCCTACACCACCGCTCTTTCACAGCTGCCTCTCTCCGCTCGCGCAATATGCTAGGAGTCTAGGGGTTGGGGTCTCTCCCCTTGTGGAAGAGATTGGAGTAGCGAGCGATAAGAACTCGGTGAGCGACTAGAGATCGGGATCGGCTCGATCGGATCAATCCCGATCATGATCGGCTTGCCGATCTCCGGATCCGCAATCGCGCGCAACCTTACTACTGGGTCTGGGCACTGAAACCTTCCGAAATCACAAAAGATTTCCCCTACCGGGCCTGTATAGATCTACTTCGTGACTTTGTTCCCAGTAACCGGGTCTGCTTCTATAGTCTATACTATAGATCTATTTATACACTTTGATATAACATAAATCAAACGGAGTGTCTACGTACATGGTAACTGAGCACCTAGTCTCAGTATTTACGTACATGGTAATGGGCACCTAGTCTCAGTATCTATGTACACGGTAACCGGGCACCTAGTCTTAGTATCTCTACATACACGGTAACCGGAATGAAAATATGAATAGACTCAATCAAGTCTGAATAGAGAAAAATTATATTTGGACTCTGAAATGAGTCCAGCATGACGTCCCTTCCGACTTCCGACCCTTGTTCCTAAATATTTCCAGCATTCATGAATTTGTTTTCAACTATAATTGATAACAATCGAGACATATCCAGTTACTAGTACTAGATCTATCTAAACTGGCCCTCCCTGGATTATTAGTTTTAACAGAACAACCAAGTTGAGTTGACCTTGCTGGGGCCAAAGTTAATTATATGTCGACCAAGGAGATTGGGAGTAGCGATATATCGCACTCTCGGCTTGCTGGGGGAAAAGGAGTTGGGAAGAGGCCACGGCTGTCGGTTTTGTGCGATGTGATTAAACAAAAAAAATTACAGAAAAACTATAGCACATAACAAAACGAAATTAAACATGGGGAAAGACAAATGGTGGTGGAAGTAATGATGATGCTGTAGTGGTGGTGGAAAGACTATGATTTGTCGGTTACCGTGTACTTAGACACTGCCATATAGGGCATTGGGTAGATCTAATGAGAGTGGTCTTTTTACTGTTGACACAATTACACAGTCCTAGTAAGTAGGCAATTCTAGTTCTAATTCTGGATTTACGTAAAATCCCCAGACGACAGTTATTTATACATAAGACCTCCTTACTAAGAAGTTGAGTCCAAAAATAAAAATAAAACATTTTTTTCCAGACCCGAGTCCGAATAGATAAAACCCAAGTCCGAATAGATGAAAATTATATTCGGACTTGAGTCCGAATAGAGCTGGTCATGAAAATAATAAATCAATATTTGTCCTGTGCTGTTACTTGCTGAAAAAAAAAAGAAAATCATACGTCTTGTTGGGCTTGCCATCGTGACCAGTCAGTGAACCTGCGCATGTGCATCACATTGTGAGTACTGGTTGGGGTCACCAAAGTTCATTCAAAGTTAAAAGTCTGTGCGCTGCGAAGTACAGGGCTCCGGAGGGAATGGGGGGATTATATATTGATTTTTTTTAAAGTACAGTCGAGGGGAGGGGTGGGGATGAAGGCAACACCGGAAGACAAAAACTGAGGAGTTTTGAACTGCCCGGTTACCGTGTACGTGACACTGAGACTAGATTCTAATATGCCCAGTTGCCGGTACGTGACACTGAGACTGAGACTACGTGCCCCGTTCCGTTGCCAGTTACCGGGTAGGCAACGCAGATATTGAGGCTACATGCCCGGTTACCGAGCACATGACACTGAGACTACGTGTCCGGTCGCCGGTTACCGTGTACATAGACATAGACACTGAGGCTAGGTGCCCGGTTACCATGTACGTAGACACTCTGACTCTGATATATTTCCGTAAATCATAAGAAGGGTGATCTTGTAGATCTAGATCTAGAATCTAGATCTAGATCTAGAATCTAGTTAAGACTAAGACTAGTTCCTTCCGTTCCTTACTTTAAAAAGTCCACGATCAATTTGTTTACATCCAGAAAAGAAATCCAGAAGTCTTGATGACCAAATAGGCTACACAAAGGGCAGGGATATGACACCAAACTGCAAAAAATCTAATTATGGTAAAATTCAGGGCATGCCCCCCCCCCCCACAAGTATTTTTGTTCGCCCCTGAAACTCTTGACTTTAACTTTAACGAACGCAACTACAAAATCGCCCAAACAAGTCCTGGTGCAACGTTGTATTGAGGTTTTACATTTGAAAAACTCTTACTAACAAAAAGTGTCTTTTTAATGCATTTCAACCAAGCATGAGCACAGTTTGCTGCCTGTTGCTGGCCACTGAAAACTGAAAACAAATAAACAATTCTACTAACTTGGCCTACCTTGCACTTTCACGCACTCACATCCCCCGCCAATACTGCTGAGACTGGTATCTAACACCCAGTCACCCAGCTTTGTTTCTTCTTTGCAATGCCTCTTTGGACAAGGCTAAAGCTTCCCTTCAAAGTACCACAAGAGAGCTCTCTGGTACCACCCATATGAGGTAGGCAGATACATAGCTATTGCTTATTTTACGCTAATTCTAACATAATATGGATACAGTGGGAGGTTTGACTGAGCGTAATGTCTGTAGAAACATAGAAACTAAGTGGGAAAAGAAACTGAAACAGCTAAAATACTTAACATGGCGGCTTGTGTAATACCTGGCTACTAACAACGTTCCACATTTATTTTTAGCTAACATTTCTCGAGCGAGGCCAACCCACCAGTCAGGCCTACTCCTTTGATCATAACATACGACTTTGCCTACCACCAATAATCCGGAAAGGCCATAGTATTTTGATAGGCAAGCAGCTGTTTTTGTACGAACTTCTCCACAGTATTCAACAGTGAAGAAAGTGAGACGTACCTCGTAAAATATGAAGTTTGGTGTTGGAAATATGATCTCTTGATAGTCAGATAAAACGAACGAAGGAAGTGTGTGTGTAAGTTGCTAGCAGAATACCTTCATTGCAAGTTGAGTTTTTTGTGTGGTCTTAATCTTATCCTTGTTAGTAAATCTAGAATCTAGATTAGATCTATAATCTAGATCTAGTTATTGTTATTGTCGTATATATAGCGGTGTAGTAAAATTGTAGAAGTTGCGAAGATGTATAGATTAGAGTCGGGTAACTTCACCTCTCTCAGTTGGCTCGCGACGAAACAAGCCTACACTTACACTACACCTACACCTCCTCAAGGCTGAATCGTCAATCAATGTAAATTATCCCAGTTTCGTCTGCAATTTTTCGTAACCAGTGAAATTGCAGATAGCCCTCTGATTGTTTTGCTTGTTAGTCGTACTTCATCTGCTTCGTTCTTTTTTCAAATGGATGGTGACCGGAAACTTCGCCACCATCATATCGGGGAAATTCGCCAGTCCTTGAGGGGAATTTCACCATACTGGGAGATCATCTTATTTCTTTATTTAGCCTAATTATGAAACATGTGTAAAAACTGATCTTTCGTTAAAGGGGACCTACATTTGCAGCTGCAATCACTTTGTCAACAATTTTATTTCTCTCTCTCCCAGCCCTCATTCCAAAAGTAGATCGACCAGAGACATGGTCGGCAAGAGAGGTTTTTTGGGAACGCTTGATCTAAATTCTCAGGCTGCCCCACAGCAGCTTTGTCCACCTTAAACTGCTTCAACGGCTTTCTCCAAATCACTTTATTTAAAAGTTTAAGTATACTTGTTATTGAATCCCTTGCCTTGTTTTCCCCATAATAAAAGTGGTAAATCTAAGTAAAACAACAAATGGAAAATCAATAGACCTGCGTCCCGACAATCGAGGCGAATTTCCTCGAAAGGGTGTAGGTCTGTACTCACTTTTTAACAGTAAAAGGGCATACAATGCATATATACAAACGACAATAAAATGCAGAAAATACAATAATTTTTAGCAAGTGGCTATTCTCCGGCGTTGCGCTGGTCAATAGATCAGAAGCTATTCTCCGGCGTCACGCCGCCGGTCTATTACTAATAATTTGTCGGCGCAGATTTGCAAATACCTCTCTATATATGATCTGTTTGTCTTGAAAAAAATTCCCATAACTTTACCACTTCGTGCCTCTTCCATTGATACAGACGATAGATTTGCAGACACAAACTGCCCCAATTCCTCCAATTTAGAATTATTGTAGATGCTAGAAGAAACGTGTTCACCACAAGTTTGTTTGTTTTTGTAAAGTGTTTTACGGCGCTCGCAAATGCAAGGTCATATGAGCGCGCGGGACACACCTAATATTTTCAGTTGGTAGGAAATTTTGAATTTTGCCCAGGTGGCGGCCGAAGCCTACTCTTATCGATTTTAGACCACCAAGTCACCACAAGTGACGCGAGTTCATAACAAAGAGTGAGCATAAGAAGAAGTTACATTTTTCACTGTTTACAAAAACGGAGATACGACAAGAAAGCACTGAAGTCGCGAAATATCAGTTAAATTTATCGAAAATTATAACAAGAAATAAGTTACACAGCAAGCTATACTATATAACTAGACAGGATTTTAGACACAAAATCAATTTTGTTCATTTAAAGAAACAATCATTATTTTAATATAAGCAAATTGACGACCCAAATAAATGATATTGTATCTCAAATCTGCACCAACAAATACATTGTAATTCATAAGTAATAGACCGCCGGCGTGACGCCGGAGAATAGCTTCCGATCTATTGGCCGGCGTGACGCCGAAGAAAATAACGCCGGAGAATAACAACTTGCTATTTTTTAACAGTTTCAAAACAATTTGAGTAAAAATTATGAACTGCTATGACAGTTTAGTAAGCAGCAGACACAGAAAGATAAAAATAGCGCAGGCGCAGCAGAGATACGGCAAGAGAGGAGGAAAGGGAGGCCTAGCGGGAAGATGAATGCCTGAAACATCGCGTTTGTTCTTCATCATAACAATTAATTTTTCTGATTGGTTGGTCAACTGACAATGAATTGTTTCTGGTCCCAAGTAACTTAACACTTAAACTCTTCCTTGGTGGGTATATCGGATTCCAATTTTATATCGGTAGAGGGGGACAGGTGGCGAATTTCCCCTCCTGGCAAAGTTACCCAAATCTGCTCTATTATGACTTTGATCATTTGCGAGGCAGATTTTAATTTTTTTTAAAACCGGCAGTGACTAGAATCTATGTTCATGGCGCCCTGAACGTAGTTTACAATTTAAGAATGATCTTGCTGACTTCACCCCCTACCCTTTGCCCTTTGCTTCTTTTTTCACCACCTCCCATCCCCTCTTCCCGCCTTGGCCTTCTTCCATTCTCCTTTGTTTCTTTGAACGACTTTTATTTACTTGTGGCTAACTGCAGCGCATCAGCCATGCTCTGATTGGTTACAAGGTTTCGGGATGTTAATAAAATTTTGGAATTCCGGTAGTGCACACGACCGAGTTCACCTTTCCTTTTTTTACTTTTATCCGCCGCTTATACCCTTTTGGGTGTCGCGGGAAGAAAGAGACGTCTCTCTGTCACCAGATACTTTGAGTGGTTAGTGTTTCCCTGACTCCATGTATCCAAGTTTTTCTCGGTCGGCCTCTAGCCTTGTTACCATTAAATATTTTGGTGTAGGCATGTTGTGCTGGATGGTGTGTTGGTAATCGAATGAGATGTCTGAACCATTTGATTCTTTGGTGTTGGATATATTGCATGACATCATTTGTGCCCACCATTTCTCTGATTACTGAGTTTCTAATTTTGTCTTGCCTGGTCTTGTTTACTGCTTTTTTAAGGCATCGCATTTCATATGTTGTAATTCTTTGCTCTAATGTCTTATTCGTGGTCCTTGTTTGGCATTGATAGCCATCTAGCCATCACCATCTAGTAAATTCTCTCTGCTTCCTTCAACACCAGAAAAAAAGAAGAATGGAATTAGCCATGTGACTTGCAGCAAACTGCAAACATGTATCTTGTTTATTAGGCTATGTTGTTTTTGTAGACAAAAAGGGTGCCGGGGCAGTGCCACTGGACTGACTGAAGTGTCTTTAGGCCATTCCCAAAGGGGGGGACATTTCTCGTTCAAGCATAGTAGAATTGTAAATGGGCTGACTCATGTCACGCTCATAACAGTGCCTGATCTACAACAGGGAACTGCTGCTTTTTCTTTCCTGATCCTTACTATTGTCATTTTCCTCTACTTCTTTTGTATGTTTGTCACTGATCCCTTGTGACCTGCTATTTTGGGGTGCCTTGATAGTCGAAGCAGATCTTGTGCTGTTGAAGCTAGAGAGGTGAGCAGTCTAAGTCTGATTCCCTGTAAAGACTTCTCTGTTGACACCCACCCCTTGGTGCTCATATGACCTTATGCAGTTGCGAGCACCGTAAAGCCCTCTACTATGTAAAAAAAGGGTGCTTGAAATATCCATATGAGGGAGTACGCCCTATACATCAATATGTTTTAGAAAAAGAAAAAAAAAAGGCAATAGTTGCTGAGTGGTGAACAAAGGGAAATCATGTGTTTTTTTCTCTCTCTGCCTCCTCTTTGTCTCTCTCAATTTCTCTAGATCTCATTCTTTTAAACTGATGATTTCCTTTTCCTTTTTTCTCTCCTTCTTTTCTTTATTCTGTCTTATCCTCCTCCTTCTTCCGTCTGACCTCTCTCCTTCTGTCTAATAGATTCTTTCCTTCAACCTTTTTCATCCCCCTTTCCTCCCCCCTTTGTCCCATCCACCGTATTTAATCTGGCTTGTTTCTTATTTCTTCTCTTCATTGTCATTGGCATTCAGACCACCGCTGTCTTATTTTTCACCCGAGTATTCCTGTGCTGTTTCCTCATTCACTTTGAGCGACCGTAGCGTTTCAGTCGTGCTTCTGTGCCAATGGTGGATGATTCAGGACACCGTGAACGTAGCGTGCAAACGACGTACATGGCGCCGCGAACGTAGTCACTGCGAAAAAAACCCATTACTTTCTTAGGGATGGATGGTTTTTATCTGAAATTGTGTGGCATCCAAGTAAGAATATATGTCCCTATCCAGATCCAGAGGTCTCTCTCCAGACTAAAAAAAATAAAATAATTATATTAACAGTTCATTATTTTACAATCCTAAAAAATGTGTTGTTTGACTTCATACTTCATTGTTACATCTAAAACAAATTCGAAGAGGCAATGTCTCAATCTGTAGACTCCTTTTAGGGAACAGCAGGGGTTATATTATCGTGACGTAAGCCCAACCTCTGTCTCAAAAGCTCCCTTCGCCTTGACCATCCCTGTCTCCCGTCTCTAACCTCTACTCAAGCATTCAATAATTATCTACTATGTATCATCTTGGGAATAATAGATGATTACCTAACAAGTCGTAACAAGTGTACTCACCTTTCAGTTGTATTCCCTGATTCTAGACCAGTCCAAAGAATACACTACTTCAATTGAAGTATTCCTCCTCAAATTTTGATATGTTAACTTTCTTATAATCTGTTCCATCCAGGTTTTCTTAAAAATGTAACATACTATTCAGTCATAACATACATTGTATGTACATCTGGATGGGGCTAAGGGTGGAAACAGACAAGATGTTCGATCATTTCTGTTTTTGATAGGTCAAACAGTGGCCCTATGAGATGCAAGCACTGGTGACAATGGATAAGTAAGACTTACTCTTGCCATTATCTGAGAGTCTAGGATATCACTTGAGAAAAGTATTGATCACTACTTGCCAACCCGACAGGGGACCCTTGATTCCATCTGCTGGCCTCTGAAAGCCCCCCCCTCTACCCCCAAATTCCGCCCTGTCCTAGAAGGAATTTTTTTGTGGCTCCCTTGTGATTCGATCTTAGACATGTTCGACTTTAATATGTATGCCTGGTAGTAGGGTTAATTTGATATTTTGTATTCTTTTATATCTCCCAGGATTCCTTTCCATAGGCAGCATGGTAGACTCTCCTGAAAGACTTGCTTTTGACCCTTTGAAGTATTTGAGGTCTCGAGAGCATGGGATACAGGCGAAACTAGGATGGAGAAATACGTTGTATTCTTCGATATACACCCACTTCAGTGACAGTTTGAAGACGCCAGTTCCGCCTTGTGATGGGCAGGACTGGGGCTCTGTCTTTGGGTTTGGGTTTTCCTCTGATGGGTAAGTTCTCTGGAAATACGCAACACTCATACTGAAAACAAGCAACCATGATTTGGTCGAGGGATAAATTTTTATGTGACAAAGAATGCAGTTCTTGGTCTATTTTAAAGATTAAAGTTTGTGATTATATTTACTCTTTGGTGTGTTGTCCCTGAGCTTTATAATTTTTGCTACGGCTGTTAATTTATTACATTTCTCTGAGGCTCCATTGTCATTGTTTATTGTTAATAATGTCGAAAGTTTATACAAATTATTTGCAATATAACTTATTGTTTTTCCTTGCAATGCCATATATCAGTTATTTTCCTTGACTACAAGTACAATATAATTATAAATAGTTAATACTTGAAGTAGATGCTCGAGGAAGTGGATAGTCCTATAGTCTCATGTTCTTGATCTTCATTTCATTATTTCAGTTGTACGCATGAAAGATTCCACTTGTAGTTCAAAGTACCTTACATATTTTTTTTTATATTCTAAAGGTCATTACTTGCTGCTGCTTGTGAAAGGAAATGTGTGTTGTTGTATGATCCTGTCAACATGCGGCTGATCTCAAGAAAGTTTAATGTTCACAATGACTGTGTGAACTGCGTGAAGTAAGTGTGCATTTCAGTGGTACGATTCAGTTTCAGCATCATAGATGTACAAAAGTCAGTGTGTACTTACAGACCAAGCACTTCGATATAATTGGATCTCTCTGATTGTTTTTTTGTACTTCAAAGAACCCTGATCGGATTTGCATAGAATTCAATGTTTTAATTTTGAATTCCATTTCTGTCAGGTCGTATGCAACTTGTTGTATGCGACTTTATTTTCCTACCATTTCACTGTCTAGTTACATAGTCCTTAGCTGGGTTGCTGAAATTTGCCCCTGAGCATGTTTGAAAATATTTATTTTAAAAAAGCTGAACATTTTATTAATGAGAATGTGTAGCTGTCCTAGAACAAAGCTTTGTAAACTGAAAACAGTAATTCTGTGATCAATTTTTAAAAATGTTTCCCTTATTGTCCAAACTTCTGTCAGGTTTCTAGACAACAGACTGTTTGCAACATGTTCAGATGACACAACAGTGCGGCTTTGGGACATGCGCTCTTTGAAACAAGAAGTGCGAATACTAAAAGGCCATTCAAGTTGGGTGAAAAACATCGAATATGATCCTTCAACTGGAATTCTTGTGACCTCTGGATTTGATGGAAATGTATATTCCTGGAATTTAGACAAGTAAGACATTTTCACCCACCATGGAGCTCAGTGTTGACATAATGATAGTAGTATTCATGCATGAAAAGTCAAGAAATTGATCAGTTTGTGCACAGATTACAATATTTCAAACATGTCATTAAATGTGTTTTCGATTACCAAGTCATTCTATTGTGTGTTTGTTGGCAGCTGAGGTTTGGAATCTTCTGGAGCTTGTAGTCTTAAATTTCAGCGAGGAGACCAAATAAAGACTTGATCTGCCTTGTTCCTTCCGCTTTCCCCCTTTGCTACAACTCTATGTTGGAATATTTCAATTTGATTTTTGCTATCAGGGATGCCAAATCTCCGGTTTTTCCGGCTTTTTGCGGTTTTTTCATGCACTTACAAAGGAAAGGGGAATGGTAAGAGAAATGTTTTTGTTTGCTCATTTAAAGATTTTACAAGGTTTGTTTTAGGTGAGGTGTGATGCTCCGCTCATTTTCCTTTTTTTTTTTCAAAAATCATTTGGCATCCCTGTGTTACATTCGTGGCTACTTACTTTCAGTGTTTTGAGTTCTCAGTTCCAGCCTCAGCTGCTAGCTTTAGAATGTTAGTTTCTTTATTAAATAGAAGAAAAAAAAACAACAACTGTAAACAGATTTGTTGAATGCATACTTTGATATTTCTTCACACACTGTTATTTCAATTGTATGCACAGGTTTGTCTACTGTTGGAGTAGGAGGTGGGGATAAATGAGTTTCCTAAATGTTCAGATTTTGTCTTGGAGGTTTGTGCCTAAATTCAAGTGGAGATTCATAGCCCGGTGATATTCCTTTTTTTGAGATGTGTTTGAATATTGAGTTTTGGTTGCGCCTGAATAAGTTAATTTTTTTTTTGTGGAATAAAGGAAAAAACAAACAAACAAATAAAACTTGTTGTTATTAACTGAAAGACATAATCAACTTGCGAGTGTATCCTCCTTTTTTTCCCCCAGCTACTCCGAGTCAGACTGTAGGAGGAAACGGCTTCTTTACATTAACGGGATTATGCGGACTGTGTTGACACCTTCCGCAGACAAGATGATCATCTCCACCAAGGATGGATACTTTGTAATAATTCACAACTTGGATCTGGAGCATTTGAAAAGTGATATGGAAGGGTAAGGGCAGATTCCTCTTTTGTCTTGTTGCTGTTTTTTTTTCTCAGGAATATTAACATACACATCGTCATCACCACCTGCTATGTGTTATTATTGTTTGAAAATACTTTTTTCCCCCTCATCTCTGAGAATCTTCTTTTGGGATTCCATTTTGAATTGCTATCAGGATCTGTTCCTAAAGTCAAAGATTGTTAAAGATATTTTTCTTTCTACACAATATCTTATTGAACTGACCAGTTTTGTTTTAAAACTTTTATATGTTCACCCCTTTTGTTGTTACCTCTTTGCCTATGAACACCTATGTTGAAATTCCCATTTCAGTTATATATAATTATATATATCACGATGCTGTGAAATGGGGCGCTCGTCCATTTTTGAGCATGTGGAGTTAGTGGTACCATCTTAAAGCTTGTTCATTTGCCTTACATTCAATGACCCCCCCCCCCCCCCCCCCCCCCAATCTCTCTTGAATAACAGTCGAGATATATCCGATTGAAGAAAGTGGGGGACACCTGGTTTCAGAGGTAAAATTATTGAGAAAATGACTGCCAAATTTTGGTAACTTCCATATCTTGAGGGTCCTTTGGAAATGAAAATTTACATTTTTTGTTCCTTTAATCAAAGTTTTTCAGTAAAATCCACACAAAAATGTAGACATTTTGTTGAGCCAAAAGACAAAAAAATTTGAGAGAAAAAAATTGCCAAACGGATGGAAAAATGCTGTTTTCTTTGATTTAACTATTTTGACAAGCACCTGATTTCACCATGATGTGTCACATTTATATATGCTCTCTACCAAATTGCTATATATGTACCTCACAGGCTAGAAAATACTCCTGCATGCTTTAGTAGTTCTTGAACTATACCCACTCCTGTTCATGCAGTCTCGTGTACATGCAAATTTTACATGTGTGCTGATTACTTCCTCAAGTTGTAACAGGAACAAATTTGAGTTCAAAGTAACAGATTCAAGACTGTTATATACTAAGATATTATGTCAGCAGGAGTCACTCTTTTTTAGGTCTTTCATTTTGTTTATCAACTTGTTACAGTGGAAACATGCAAGAGAAAGAAGTGAGTAGGTCTACTCCGAGTATTGCGGTAAATGTGAAGAACATGCTTGTAGTAAAATGAGTTTATCTCACTACGTTAAGCTTTTTAAAAAACGTAACTCTTTTTGTACCGATGGGTATTCTTCATTTCTATGCAACCTATTTTTAGATTCTCAAGGTGTGTTTATAAAATACAGTAAAACTTTGACAATGATTGACCAAAATGGATGGTTGACTGTCAAACTATTACAAACTGAACAAACAACATGAACATGAAAGGTGTGTGAATGTAGAATGTGCACAGAAACGATTATGAGAAGTGAAAATGGGAACAAGGGATTAGTAAGAATGCGGCAGGGAGTGGAGATGCACAAGTAAGGGGCTCTTCCGGTTCGCTGCTTGAAGTGGCGAGCCAAAGGGAAAGCGTTAACTCGATGAATGACTCAAAACAGCCCCAAGTCATTTATCAATAAAACAATAATGTTTGACTTTGTGAGCAGTTTGATTATAACATGAGGAGTTCAACAATAGATTTTGTGTCACAGTAGTGTTGAGGAAATGTCCACCTCCACAACTTTCACGTTTTGACAATGATTAATTTTGTGTATTTCTCTTTTGTATTTACTTTACAGATTCAGACCTCACCCTGATATGTCCAATTATGGACGCAAGTTTTTTCGGGACAGAAACAAAGTAGAGGTCATGGGAGACTTCCCACAAAATGATGATGCAGAGTCTATTTCTACAATGGAGGTAACTATTTTAGCAACCTTGGTTCTTTACATTGTCAGGGGCATTTCTCAATCACTTCATTTGAAATTTTCCTCAATATGTACAGGTGAAATATTTGCATCCCTTTTTCCAATTTTACTCAGCTTTGTGGCTTTGCATGGTCCATAACCTAAAATGTGCGAAACTGTCAGCTATTCAGATGTGTAAAGATTGAAACTGTGGCAGCATTAGTTTAAAGTAAAAAAAAGTCAATGTGTTTCATTTTCTTAGGCCGACACACATACCAACAGTGAAATATTTGTATTAACCACAAAACTCAACTGAAAATCTAAAGAATCTTTTAACATTTCCAACCAATGGAACTTCTTGTGACTGTCCTGGATAACACCCCCCCAGATTCTGATAGTTTTGATGCTGTTCTAACCAGCTCCTACCAGTTATGGTGCTTTACAGTTTGGCTCTTTTGGGTCGGAATATTTGAACTGTGCCAACCCCTGTTATAGGATTTTCTGCTTAGGGGCAGTTTACAAATGACATTGGCTAAAATTTGACCCAAAATGACACCACCACCCCCTCCCCCTTGTCATCTTCTGTCATCTTTCCCAGGACCCCCCCCCCCCAAGTTGATGTCAACCAAAATGTACATGTACATTTAGATAGATCCTGTTCTGATCTAGCTTCCAGCTGCCTGTGCTTTGTAGAGATAAGAGTTAATTTGAGTTTTTGAGTTTTTAGGGCAAAAAAATAATATGGTTCAATTTAGATGTGGTAAGTTTAGGCCAAGAGAATGGAGTCTATAACAATTTTTTTTCTTTTCTTTTTTCCCCCCAACCTTTTAGAGCATCATAGATGGTTGACGTCAACTTTGTAAGGAGGCCCCTCCCCCCCTCCCCCAGGTCAACTTTTGTCAACCTTTCACTGACCCTCCCCTCCCCCCTCTGAGTTGACATTTGTGAACAGTCCCTTAGTTGCCTGTTTATATTTCTTTACACTGAATTACAAAGGCAATTAAGAAAAGTAATTGTGTCAAGGGGCAGTGGAATCAGGTGCTTGTCAATTTCTCTTCATGTGAAGTGATTAGTATCATCTGAACGCTTGTTCATTTGCCTTACTTTTAGTGAAACAAATACCCATCTATCTTGAATAGAAGCCGAGATATTTGCGATCGAAAGAGATGGAGTCTACTCTACTGGTTTGAATGTTAAAATTAGTGAAAAAATGGCCCCCAAAGTTTGGGAACTTCAATAGCTTGGGAGTCCCTGAAAACTGAAAAATTACTTATTTTGTACTTCTAATCAACATTTTTCAGTAAAATTCATATGTAAATGTGTTTCTATGTGGACATATAAGGTGTTGAGCCAAAAAATAAAAATTCGATAAAAATGGCCAAACTGGTGGAAAAATGCATGTTTCTTCGATTTTATTATTTTGACGAACGCCTGATTTCACCATTATGCCTCACAATTGTTTTTGTTCCTCTGAAAGAGATATTTTTATTGTAGTCATTCTGGAATGTAAATATTTTCACAATGCTTGACAGGTTCACCCTCAAGGCTGGTGCGTTGCTTCAAGGAATACAACATTTTCTGGAACTGCTGAGGTGAGATTGGCTCTGAAGCCTATTTTTTAGCGATTGGTACAGCAGATTGAAACGGGAGTTGTTGGGGGGGGGGGGGGGTTTGGAGAGGGGGGGGGGGGTTCAGAGGCTTTGTTGTTGCCACCTATCCACTGAAAAAAAGAAGTCTATACAATGTAAGAATTTTTTTTCTTTAAATTAATGTTAATAGAGCTCTCATTTTCAATGATGTCATGAAAATATGCCCAAGTGGCGTGCATCTAAAACAACTAAGATTGAATCAATGTTGATCTCTCCAGTCTACGTATAAAAGTGTTTCAATTAGTACCTCAGTTTCAATGAGTAAGAATTTGGATTGCTCTGCAGATTTGAATGTATTTGTGAACTTACTTAACTTGGAGGCATTTTGAGGCTCACATCGCTTGGTATATTTGTATCAGTGCTTCAGGACAACACTATTGCTTTCCTGACTTTTAATGTCTTTTTTATTTTTTCTCAGTGCTACATATGACCATAAGTTGTATCTTTGTGCTTCTTTATCACTAACAAAAAACCCCCCAAAAACGATGCATACACAGGATCACTAGAGTAAAATAATGACTTACAGTAACCTTGCCTACAAATTGCTCATTTTGAGACAGCGACACCACCTTGCCCCCACATTTCAGTGTAAGCTTGTAGATTTCTTCCCCCCACTCTCTCGACGTCTCCACGTGTCCACATGAGTCTCGAAAATTACTTACCCCATCTCTTGACTCATGTTTCTTAGATGTACATAGGAGTGTGGTGTTGAGGAAAATATGTAAACTTTTTGATGTTTTGGTGTATGCTGTAAATCCCCTTTTATTTTTTTTACCCACTTTAGGCACACATCAAAGAAAACATGTCGGAACCTCAGTTTGCAGTGACTTTTATGAATGGGCTTTTAGATTCTGTTTGTCATCCAACTTTTAGACCCATATATATGCAAAAACTGAAAAGATTAAACAGAGCAATTTCATTTTATCTTGTTTTAACCGCGGTCAGACAAAAGTGAACGAGCTGTAGTATGTGCACAGAAGCTCCTTCTTTTGATATCCATCAGTTTGTGCTGTTCTTATTTTCTCTTTGATTAAGAATGTCATGTCTCTGTAAAAAATTTCTTTCAGTGGACATGCGTGCATGACATCCAGTTGAAGCGAAAAAGAAGAGGAAAGGATGCAAGGCCTTCAAATGGTTGTGATAGTGACAAAGGTGCGACTTCAGATTTGAATTCTGAGACTGGAAGACGAAGAGATGATTCTGGCAGCTGTATGTTCTCTCCACCCACAAACTCCACCACTCAATATCAGACTACTGGACGCAGCCAGAATGGTCAATTATCCTTTGCTTTGAGTCAAATCCGAAGGCAATTCTTTGATCACAGTGACTCTCCACTAAGACAGAATTTAGACTCCTCTTTGTCTGCTCAAGTTCCCTCCTTTGGAATGTTCTTGTTTCAGTCTGAACCGGGTGCTTATGAATCAGGAGATAGTTCCTCAGATGATAGCAGTGATAATGGTAATGATGATGATGATGATGAATCCAATGGAAGAAATGGCGTCGTCAGTGATGATTCCTTACCTTCCTCCCCGCTCAGGGAGAATGAGGAGGAGCTGGAGGAGGAAGAAAGTGCCGAAGCGTCGGAGAGTCTTCCTATCACTTCATCCTCCAACTCATCAGCTACTGCCACCAACAGCGTAAGTCACACCCCGTCCAGGGGTCCCCCGTCATCAAATGAATGTGTGCCACCTCAGAGATCTGCTTTCTCTGCAGTTCAAGACATACTGGAACGTAATAACGCATCTGTTTCCTATTTGCAAAATATTGTTGGATATGACAGCTTCTCCAGTTTCCGTGAAGGGGATTGGCATAGAAATCGAAATGAAAACTCTCTTCCAGAGATGGCATTACGGCTAGGAGACAATCTCAGCACAGACACCTGGAGGATAAGAGTAGGACGCCAGAGAAGGCTCTTGTTTCATTTAGAGGAACCAAATGTGGGATCAGGATTTATAAAGGAGCAAAGTTTCAGCCCTGATGGTAGAGTGCTTGCATCTCCATTTGGAAATTGTGTGCGTTTGCTGGCTTTTAACAATTCTTGTTTGGAACTCTGTGACTGTGTTCCCAGTACAGCAACAGCTCTGCAGGAAGTGGCGATGGTCGGACAGATGAAGTCTATCGTCTTAGCCAGCACATTCTCCCCCTCCCAGCCCCTATTTGCCGCTGGATGCAAAGATGGAACTATTGTTTTCAGCACCCCAAAGTTGTGATTGTACTGCATGCTTGTGTGGTGATATTGTAAAGTTGTAAAAAAAATGTTGATCACACACAAAAGAAGCGTGAATGTGACTGTTAGTTTCGAAAAGAATTTGTTTCATTGTATGACAGTAGATCTTGTTAGGGAAAAGATGGACAATTATAATGAATATATTAAAGTGTACAGACTTTGTAAATTGTTAACACAATAAAACAAGACAAAACAAATAAAATAGTGAAGAAATCCTTGCTCTCTCTCAGATTCTCTCCTAATTTACCCGGTGGGCTAATGACAGGTCAGCTGGCTATGCACCTAATTTCAGAATACTATGTATTATATATGCACAGAGATCTTATGTTCAAAAAGATTGTTATATATTTCACATAATATTATAGTATAGAGTGTAGATTGCACTGACAAAAAATGTGGAAGTTTTTTTCATCATATCGGATGTGGTGCTTTTATTTTATTTTACTTCTAGTCTAGTGTACCTTTATTTGAAGTTGAATTTGTACGACACAGTAGTGTGTTTAGCTTAGTTTGCAAGGAGGGGGGGCGGAGGGCGGGGGTGTTTCTGTTTTATTGTTGGATGGATTTCAGGATGTGTGAAAATTTTGAACCTGAAACCTTTCAAATTCATGGAATATTTTGCTCCAACAAGGTTGTGGATCACTATTCAGCAAAAGTGAGACATATACAGTGGAGTCCACTTACAACGAGTCCGAAAAAAACGAGAAGTCTGCCACATTATAAAGACACTATTCTAAAACCCCGTTTTTTTCTCCTCTTTACCTTTGTAAATAAAATACTGCTATAGCGCTATCAGACAAACATGCGAGTCGGTTATAGCGGTATATTGCTGCTGTTGTGCACAGTGCATAGGCCTATTTTACATCGTAAAACCTCGCCAGTTGAGAAACTTGTTGGTGATCTTGCGAAACAAAGAATAGGAGAGCCCATGTGCGTCAACAATAAAGGCTGGAGCAACTGAGTAGGGAGGGCGTGGCATGCGCAGACAAGCAGAACACATCATGTGATATGCCAGCGTAAGCCTAGTTTAGATTATCAAGGCCTACCATGCCTCTCACTTCTCCGATACGGGGATGGAGAGGTCACAGTAATGTGATGGATGGAGGGAATGTGTGACGTGCGCAAGCTGACAGAATGCACCACAGGGTGTGGTGGGGTGGGGGAAAACACAGCGGGCGAGTTAGCCCAGAGCCCTTCCTTTCTGATCGCCAACGCCAAGCTGTCAGTCCACATCGCTAGATCTAGCGCTAGAGAAAGAAACCTGATTCGATTTTTGATCAAGTAAGATCTAGAGGTCATGTTGAAGCAAAATCGTCATCAGGGGAGATAGCAAATGGAAATAAACAGAACATCAAACTCATAGATTACTCAGATTAGGCCGACTTAACAGTTTCCCTTGAATTTATTACTGGATCCCTTATAGCGAGAATCCTGCTATAACGGACATTTTGCTCCTGTCCCCTCCCTCTCGTTATAACAGGATTCCACTGTACTGGAATGGAAAATGGCTAAGCAATTGAATGGCATCTAAGTCTTGTGTATACATTGAAGGATGACCATAATTATTGTATCTTTTGCTTGGTTCTGGGTTGGGGAGGAATTCTGTAACGAGCGATCACTATGTTATCTAGATCAATGGCCATCAAAATCTTTTTACAAACACTTCATAATAACTTTCATCTAGATCGATGGCCATCAAAATCTTTTTACAAACACTTCATAATAACTTTCATCTAGATCGATGGCCATCAAAATCTTTTTACAAACACTTCATAATAACTTTCATCTAGATCGATGGCCATCAAAATCTTTTTACAAACACTTCATAATAACTTTCATCTAGATCGATGGCCATCAAAATCTTTTTACAAACACTTCATAATAACTTTCATCTAGATCGATGGCCATCAAAATCTTTTTACAAACACTTCATAATAACTTTCATCTAGATCGATGGCCATCAAAATCTCTTTACAAACACTTCATAATAACTTTCATCTAGATCAATGGCCATCAAAATCTTTTTACAAACACTTCATAATAACTTTCATCTAGATCGATGGCCATCAAAATCTTTTTACAAACACTTCATAATAACTTTCATCTAGATCGATGGCCATCAAAATCTTTTTACAAACACTTCATAATAACTTTCATCTAGATCGATGGCCATCAAAATCTTTTTACAAACACTTCATAATAACTTTCATGGGAGGTTCCCCCCCCCCCCCCCCCCCGTTTAGGATTAGGGTTAGTGCTAGGTTTATGGTTTGGGCAAAGTTTAGAGCTAGGATTAGGTTTGGGGTAACCGTTAGGGTTAGGGTTAATGGTGGGGTTAGGATTATAATCTAGATTTCATAGTTGTCCATCATTACGGAGCTCCTTCCCTCAATAGTTGTTTAGCTACTCAAGTTTATATACACTTAGAAAACATTTTTGCTGGAGAGCTGAAAATTACCATACTCTACTCAGCCTGAGGAGAACCTTGCTGTCAATATGGATGGCGATCGATGAACCTTTACTCTAAATGAGTTACTTCTCAGCAGCTCAATAGGAATGCCTGGGCAAAGAGACAGCTTTCTTGTTCCACATGTCTCTCTCGTCATATATTACTCAATGCTGCTATCTCTTCATATCTTTTATTTTTTTTTTAAACTCACACTAATGTATATGACCAGATCATCAATCACAGTGAACTGTCTGCTTCTTTTTATATCAAAGTAGAAAATAATTCTTTTCCTTTTCATAGGATGTGGCGGCAAAAAAGGGGGTGGAGTTGGGTTTACACAAGAATGAGGTTTTGGTGTATTTTAGAAAGCAGATTTCATTGCACAATCTATCCTGTTCTTACAAAAATGAAGCCTTCTCTGGTTACTGATTTACTGATGGATGGAGGGTGTCTCTGGGAGATCTTTCATGTGCACTCTTCCTTTAACATATTCTGTCTGTCCATATCACCTTAGTAGCACATTTAATAACATCATCTCAGTATGCTTTTAATTTTTTTTTTATGTTTTCAGATTTGAACAGCAAATGTCACTGAATACCTGTTTTCATTATGTTTTTTTGTTTTTTTAAGTCTTAATTTTTTTAAAGCAAAGGCTAATACTTTAGCTAACTTCCAAATTTCTAACCACTTTTATTTTCATAATTGATGACCAAAACCACATAGCTTTGTTGTTTAGTTCAAGAAAATTGCATAAAAACATGCAGTACACTTTGCTTAACATGAGAAGCTATTTTACACAAACGTGTTGTAAATATGAAAGGATTCCAAATCCCTATTTTTTTTACTCTCCTTACTTTAAGCATAGCGACTTTCCTCTACACAAAGAAATTCTCTGGTCACATGAAGTTCATATTATTATAATTTTATTGTACATGTACACAAAATTACACTTGTATTCTTTTTCTCTACTTCCATATAAGCTAAGAAAATAAAGTTTAAATGCGGAAACTTAGGTGAATGAATGTTATATACAGTCGAACCTGCCTTAACGGAAACCTGTGTTATACGGAACCCTGTCTTAACGGAATCTCCCCTCTCACCCCTTGATATTAGTCCTTTTTTTCCCTATCCATACGTTTTGTTTTACTATCGTATCCATACGACGTGGGGAACTCTGTGCTACCACTTTCAAAGAGGAAATTTACTTGATTATCCGATCCGTACGCTTTGCATAGCATGCAGTCTGTCAAAATGATTTTATGAGAAATACTGAAAGTTTCAACGAGATCTTCCCACTAGAAGTATTCTAAAATGTGAAGAATACAACCCCGGGGGTACAAAATGACCCCAGGGCGTACGGATAGGGTTAATTAACTGTGTAAAATGGAAACTTGTCCAACGCGAAAACGGAAAGAAAAATCCGCTCCCGTCCTAAGGTTTTACCTGTCTAAGATGAAATATGCTTTGCCAGTTCATTCCTGATTTGAAACAAAACTCGCAAGTTTTCTTCCGTCCGCCGGCTCTAGACTTAACGCCATGCTGCCGCGCGAGGAAGGGGAGTAGGGGCGCAATTTGAGGGTAGATGTTACCCCATCTATGTGAGCCCTGAGCCTTGAAGATGGTCAGGATGGTGTGGGTGTGAAATCTTCTGAGTGCCAGTGAAAGTGCTCGAGTGGACCGTGGCTCTCCAGCACAGAAACTTTCATTGGTAGCCAGAGGCCACAGGTGTGAAATTAGTTTGACCAATGCCTGCCACCCTGATCATACAGCCAGCTGAGAAAATGAGTTCCTTGAATCCTTGTTACTTGGTAGTGAGGGATGGCATTGGTTGACTGTGCTTATTACACCGATGAGTGGGGCTAAAGGTGGAAGCAAAGGAAGATGTTCAAACGATTCTGTTTTTAATAGGTCAAACAGTGGTCCTATGAAATGCAAGCACTGGTGGTAAATGGATAAATAAGACTGACGCCTGTCATTATCAGGGAGGTTAGCAGCTGAAAGGTGTGAAGTTTTGACCACCTTTGATTGCTTACTGCCGGCTAGAAAAGCGACCCTTGATCCCACCGGCTGGTCTTTGAAACCCCCCCCCCACCCCGCTCCATCTCTCCTTTTAAATTCTGCTGTCTAAGAGATGGAAAATGTCTTAATTTTTTTCTGGCTCCCTTGCGATTCCGTCTTGCACAGGTTCGACTGTATATAATATAATATGTATAATATATATATTATATATATCCATATATGTGTGTGCATTGAAAATGAAAGTCTGCATGAAAACTATTTAGGAAATTGTCTTGCCAGGTTGCACTTTATTTTAAGCTTTTGAAAATGACTAAGGACCTGATGATCACTCCTAACCCTTTCAGCCCCGGGCACATATATTTTCAGCTGCTACCTCCCACCATCCCAAGAGCGTATATTCTCAGTTTCGGGGGGTACCGAATTTGGGCATTTTAAAAAATAAGTAAGCCTAATTAAACTTTAATTTTCATAATATTTGTTCATTTACCTTTAAACTTTGATGTTATTATCTAAACCTCATTACAAAGATACTACATCACTTTTCAGAATGCATGCCAGTTTTTCTGAAATACTGCTGTATTGGCTGGGACTGGGGTTAGGCAGTGCACACAAATGCCTGGGGCTGGAAGGGCTAAATTGGTAGACTTTAGACATTCCATCCTTTCCTCTTGGGCTATTTTGGTCGTGTCGGTGATGGTCTAGTGGTAAGGCTGTTGGGCCCAATGTTGTACCTTTGGGAAAGATACTGTGCTTCAGTTTTCTTCACTTACCCTACATAGAAATGGGTACCCGGTAAAGTCTGAAAGGTTTTGCCACTTGTTTCTTTTTGAGTACTTAATCAGCTGCTTACATTGTTAGTGTTAGCTGCACTGGAAGCCGAGAATGTTTCCGAGTGTTCTTGGATCTGCTGGGGTACATGTAATACATATAATAGTTGTAAAGTGCATAGAGCATGGATATGTGCTGCATAAGTGCAATTCTTCTCTTCATCTTCTTCTTCTTCTTCTTCTTCTTCTTCTTGTCAATGAAATTCAAAATTGTGGCTTTTTCATGGCAAACAACAGGTCAATCACTCTGATGCTTGCTAAATCATCCTTCCTTACCTGGTCAGCCTTCACCGAAAATGGTTGATAATTACGGAAATTTATTTCAGCTACTCTTCAGCCATCATTCCCCCACCCCCAACCATACCCTCTTTTCCAGCTAGACTGGATGACGGAAACAGTTTAGTTGTCAAAGTAATATGGCTGTTATGTGTCCTCTTGTCTGTTATCTTTTAAAGTTATGGTCGTAGTATGGTACACAAAGTGGGGGGGGGGGATGCACTTTCAGGAGATGCTGGATTGCGGTGCAGACAACTCCTGTTCGAATCCTTGTTAAGACGTTCTTGACCTTTGACTGTTTGGGGAGTTATAAAGGCTCGGCTCTCTACCTCTCCTACAGGAGATGAACCTTAAGTCAAAGGCCTCACTTTTGATAATAGTAATAATAATACAAATAGATAGCATTTGTTTTGCGCAAATTCCATCTTAACAGCAAGCACTGTGCGCTTAACAATCTAATCTAAACACTTCTTAAATAATCATACAGTGGTGAAGGTGTGTTGTAAACAAATGGGCCATTCCGGGAAAAATGAAACTGCAGTGACACATATGTAAAGCAGGGACAATTATGACCTGCTTGAAAAAATTCTAAGCAGTGATGGACCCATTTATTTCTTCTTTTTTTTTTCTTTATTAGGAGGCAACATTCCTCTAACAATAAAGAATGGTTCTATCACTGCATAGAATAGTTTTTCTGTAGGTCATCATTTCTCTATCATTACATCGTTTTTCATGGAATGGCTCAAATACAATAACCAGGTGGGTTTTTTAAAAACAAATGATAGTAAGTGGAATGGAAGGATGACTTGAAAGTTTTTCTTCTTTTTGTGCTTTCGGTTATGTATTCTTTGTCATCTTACTGTTTCTGAGCACTGTGCAACCACTTCTTTGTTTAGGTATTTGTCTTTATCTGAAACAACCACATTATGAGCTTGGATCATGTTTGAAGATTATTCTGTGCAAGTGACTTGTCATTTTTATACTTGTTGGTTATGTCCAGATTTACTACTTCCCAATATAGTACACTACACTGTTTATGACTACATTGAATAATTCAGTCGAGTTGTCGAGTCTATGATGATATGAATGTGCGGGTCGTTTCTCATTAGATCTGCCTGGAGTTGTTTTGGTATGTAATAGGAGTTGAATACAAAAGTTGATCTGAAAATAATGCTCGTGTTTTGTGTCTTTTTTGCTTTTCACTTTCAATTAGTCATCTATTTGTTCAGTCAAATGTTTTAGGGTCACAGATTGTTATTTGCTTCTCACGAGTCTTGGAGAATTAGTAACCTAGTCAGTGTAGAAAACATATTTGGGATTAGCTTGTAATTGGTAATTCTTTCCTATCAAACATCTGTCGTCCTTTTCTCTCCTCCTTATTTTTGTTTGTTACTCTCTGGTACTATTACTTCATTATAGGGGGCTCTCGTGGTCTAGAGGTTAAGGTGTTGGCCTCTCATTCAGTTCAAAGGTCCCGGGTTCGAATCCGGGTAGCGACCGAAACATTTTCTTCTCTAAAATTGTCTCCTTTCACCTCCTTTCCAGCTCTCTAGCAATGTTCTGTTGTCTGCTTTAATTCCACTTTCTGCCCCCACTCCCTCACCTCCTTTGCCCCCTCCTCTGGGCTCCTGACTCTTTCTGCAGCCTTTCTACTGCTACTCCTTGGCTCCTCCTTACTGCTGTCTTTCTGCCACACCCCTGATCTTCTGGTAGGAAAGATCTACACCTAGCCTTCTCGGACAAGGGCGAAAAATCTCGGAGGGCCCGTGTGCAAGTTGCGCACGTTAAAGATCCCTTGGTGGTCTAAAATCGAAAAGAGTAGGCTTCGGCCGCCACCTGGGCAAAATTCCAAATTTCCTACCAACTGAAAATATTAGGTGTGTCCCTCCCGCGCGCTCATATGACCTATGCAGTTGCGAGCGCCGTAAAACACTTTACAAAAACAAAAAACCCCTTCATTATAGCGTCACCGAGTATTCTTCAAACTATATAATACTAATAAAATGATCAGATTTAAAAGATTTCCTTCTAAATCTCCTTATATCTCAGGTCACATATGGTTGCTTTTAAGCACAAGGGGGCTATCCCGAAAAATGCTGTTTTGAGAAAATCGAAGGTAACGTTTTTGCTCCTTGTTCAGTTTCTTTAAAAGACAAAGAGAGTTTTCTCTTTAACCAAACAAATACATTGTATACACATCAATGAAACTAAACTTCTACTATAGGTAGGGCAACGCCCACTTTTGGTGTAGGTCAAGATTTCTGGAAACCCCCAAAATCTGGGTTAGCCCGCTTGTCCTTAAAAGCAACCTTGTACTATACAGTACTTATTATACACGTATGTAGAATCTCTTCTTTTCTGTTTGCTGAAACTGGTTGACCACTTAATACTTTCTGTTCCGAGTGAAGACTTGGCAGCCACAATCAATAAGACAGCAAATAAACACAAATTTCTCAAATCTAAAGCACTGGCCTCTGGTGTAGTGATTAGGTTCTTCTCTGTTGTATGCTGGAGAACTGAGGTTTTTTGGGGGGGTAAGTGTTTTACGGCGCTCGCAACTGCATAAAGTCATATGAGAGTGCGGGACACATTATTAAACTTTTTCAGTTGGTAGGAAATTTTGAATTTTGCCTAGTTAGCCTACTCATCGATTTTAGACCACCAAGGGATCTTTAACGTGCCCAACTTGCACACGGGCCCTCCGAGATTTTTCGCCCTTGTCTGAGAGGGCTAGGTGTAGATCTTTCCTACCAGAAGATCAGGGGTGTGGCTGAAAGACAGCAGTAAGAAGGAGAAGCAGTAGAAGAAAAGCTGCAGAAAAAGTCAGGAGCCTAGAGGAGGGGGCTAAGGAGGTGAGGGGGAGGGGACAGAAAGAGGAGACGATAGCAGACGACAGAACATTGCTATAGAGCAGGAAAGGAGGTGAAAGGAGACAATTTTAGAGAACAAATTTTTTGGTCGCTGCCCGGATTCAAACCCAGCACCTTTGAATGAGAAGAAGCCCACACCTTAACCTCTAGGCCACGAGAGCCCCCGAACTGAGTTTGATTCCTGAGTGAGGAGAATTTTTATTGAGTATCTCTATCTTTCTGTGGGGAGGTTATGTCTCTTTCAGCCCAGGTTGGCCCTAACAGCAGTGACAGGTAGGCTTGAAGTAGCTTGCCACCTAAGTGATCTAAATTGGGGAAGTAAAACTTCTACAGTTATAGGTTATATGGATTTAAAATTCAAAGCCAAGGCAGATTATCGGGGGTTATTTTTAGGCAAAACAATTTTATTGTAAATCGGAATAGGATTCTGATTAAAGAAAGAAATTTCATCATTATAACATGATAAATTACATCTGTTTTTCTTATGGTCCACCTTGCTAAAATTCTATGGGAAAATTAAACTCATGATTGTTAGAGCCAATGGTATAAGTGAACTGTCCAGCCTGACTATATTCTCTTTGCTTTGCTTCACACTGCAAATCGTTAAGAAGGTGGAACACCTGGTTCCCCATTGGCAAATTCAAATAAGAAGAGGTTCAATGCATTTCTTATTCACATTGCACAGAAAACGTGAATGCAATCCTTGAATATTATCAACTCTACATTTTTCTACAAGTTGCAGTCTGTGTCCCACTCAGGATGGGTCAGCTATGACAAGACAGGGTTGAAGTTGAAGTGTCCTGCCCCCTAAACTATCTACATTGTGTTGAGAGGGGTATACGTATAATTCTAAAGGTGTCTGTAATCACAATCAATCTAGTCTAAGTCTAAGAGGTATAAAAAAACTTGTTCGAGTGAAAGAGTCTAAGCTAAAGAAAATATGTACATGTATGCCTATATTGTAGGAAGAGGAGACCATTCATTAATATCAATGAACTATGCCGTAAATGTTATTGAAAGACAAAGAGTCATCTTGAAAAGAGAGATTCATAATAATTGGGCAGTATGAGAATAATATGCTGTACAAACATTATACATCTCTGTATTACAACCATCAAGTAAATTTATATATAGGCTACCTTGGTGAAAGATAACCAATTGGAATGGATTTACAGTAAAGCTGAGAGATATATGTTTCGAGGTATTATCATGTTCATATAATAGGCTATATAGCACACAGCACACAAGCTCAACAAAACATTTCATGCAAAGAAATTGATTATGAATTGTTGCAATGTAAAGAGGCACCACTCAGAAAGAAGAATAGATATACTCTGTGTAGAAAGTAATAATACATGTATAACAAAACTAAACGTGTCTCCCTCGATTACCACTGCACTGTTGGATTTCAGATATCTGAGAATGCAGTTCTAATCAGTGATCATAGTAGAGTTCAAAACACAAACTTAGAGATCAATATTATACATATGATATTATATACACAAACATTTGTATCACTTAAAGATTGTAAGCATATTATCATAGAACAAGGCTGTCTTTAAAAAAGACCATCAAATTCACAACTTATTTCCTGCAGCATCATTCTTTTAACAGATTTTCTGCCTTCCCATATCTGTATGTGGTTGTTTGTCTGACAAAAGGGCCCATATGCTGGCAAAGACAATTTTGAGCTGGAGGCCTACAAAGGTGTAAGAGTGGTCACAGGTAAAAAAATGTAGTTCCATCAGAAAAACAAAGTAATTTAAATTCAAATTATAAGCTGGATTGGTCTTTTTACTTTATTTTTGTAACTTGTCTAACAAAACCTGCTAAATCTCCAAAAGTATTCAAAATGTCGTCATCTGAAAATTTTTTAAAAAACCAGCTGATTCAGAACTGGAAAACTTAAGTATATAAAACTACATGTACTTTTATCTCTATTAAAAAAATTTGCCGATACATAATTCCTTTTGTCAGACACTCAAGTTTATATAATAATTTCTAACCCCTTTTCTACTACAACTTATCTGATAAATATTAGTTCATCAAAATGTTTGCCCAGAGAAGGATATAGAGCTGCTACAAACTCAATTCATAGAATAAGTTCAGGAAAATTAAAATAGAAAAACTCTGTAACAAATGCCAAACAGGAAGGCCTATCATTTGATATTATAGAATTTGCCGTACCAGTTCGCCCTCACAACAGATGAATGTCACTGCTTCCAACAAATAAGATTAATTGGATTTAGTCTATTTTATCTCTCAAGTTTTCTGTTACAGTCTGTGATAGAGCATCAAATGCACAGCTGCCAGGAGAAGGAGTAAAGTGTAGGTCAGTGTTGTCATACCTGAAAAAAAAAAGTTAGACAAAATATAGTGAACAAATTTATTTCGAGTATGTTGTACTTTCACTCTAGATTGGGAATAACACACATTAGTGGTATTTTCACATCTCGTGAATAGCAATATTTTCTCTCTATATTGAAAACAGCAGTTTTAGGCATGGAGTTCTGCTTAAGTTAAGATTGATCTTTCAGTCTATACCATGAAGTTGTTGTACTTTTACGTTATTATGCTACTTTTAGTTTTGTTGATTGTTGTCTTGCAGTTCTATGTCCAATTCTCCAAAGGCTGAGCAGGTGTTCTGGCGTGGTTTACTCCTTCTGGCCTTTCATTTGTTTCAAACAGCTATTATCCTTATCGCTCCTCCTTTTTTCTGTTTGTTACTCTCTTGCAACACCTCTTATCTTAAGCACCTATGTGAGCTTATCTCAAGTGCCGTAAAACTTACTAAAACTAAAAGAAAAGACAAAACCTTACTTTGACTCAATCCCCAGACAATCCCTTTTGCCAGAGAGAGTTTGTAACTAACTGTGCCGTAGCAAATGCATTACATGCACAGGTGTTTCTAGTTGTAGTGAAAACAACTCTGATAGCAACATACCTGGATTTCCTGAATTTATGTGAGGGGCATAAGCTCCCAAAAGGTCCCTATTCTCCTCATTTGAAATGAATTCGATGAATCTTGTGCGCAACATCATTCTTTGCAGACCTGTGCAGCAAAAGCATATGGAAATTTAAAGAATTAATTTAATGGAAAAAAACACATGAAAGGATAGTTTGTGAACAATCAATACAAACTCACCTTGATTTCAAATAACTGATATATGTGAGGCATCGTGGTGATATCAGACGCTCATCAAAATACAGCTATCGGAGAAACAGGCATTTTTCAGCCAGTTTGAAAATTTTTATAGAATTTTTATTTTTGGCTCAACCTCTTATACGTCAACATTAAAAACACATTTCCATGTGAATTTTACTGAAAAATATTGATTAAATGCTCACAGTATGGACATTTTCAGTTTCCAAGGACTCTCAAGCTATTAGAGTTTCCAAACTTCAGCTGTCATTTTCTCGCTAATTTTAACTCAGAAATCAAGGGACCCCAACCTTCTTCAAATGCAAAAATCTCGACTTCTATTCAAGATAGATGGGTACTTTTTTCTCTTTAAAAGCAAAACAAATGAGCAGGCTTTAAAAAGATACCAATCACTCCACATGCTTAAAAATTGACGGATGCCTGATTCCACCGCGCCATGACACATATATAAAAATATAAAAATGGTGAGTGCTGTGAAAGACACACACCTATGCATTTTCCACAATTGTCGAAATTGGTACTAAACCCCGAATTCAAAGATCATTGAAATTGATCACCCATTGAGATGAAAGGTTATATACATGGATAATACTAACACTGAAAACTCGAAATCACTGATAGCATTTGCTCGTACATTTTGCCATCTCCAGAATCTCCTGTCGTCCTCAGTTAACCTGAATTATAAGGGTGTGGATGAACATATTTATCAGTCCTTGAAAAACGCCCGACTTATCCATATATGATTACAAAAGAAAAACAAAATTAAAATTTCATTTACCTGTGAAATGCACACGAGCTTTGGTCACACCAGCGACCTGTCCAATGACTTCCACAACAATATCACTTGGATCTGCACTGATGGCTGCAGCATATACGCGGGCTGCTGCACGCCTGTTGATGGAATTGTGTGAAAGACATAAATGACAGGGGCATACTGTTGTTTATCCGCCTCTTAAATAGCCTAATAGTGTTGATAGGGGCGTTAAACCCATACCATTTCATTTTTCTGTTCTTTATATAATCATCTGAAAACTTGTCATTACTGTGCTGCAATAATTATAGGAAAGGGGGAAGGGGGCAGGGGGAGAAAAAGGAATGTCTGAAAACACCCATTCCAGCAACTGAGATTAATAGATACACTACAAAAAAACCAGAAAAAGATAAGACGTATCCTTAGAAGTGAAGTATAAGTTAGGACTTATGGCTATGGGTCTTTCCAATAACCGGTTCTACAACTCCTGAACTTAGGTTGTCATATTCTACTGAAAATGCCTTTGCTGAGTGCATATCATATCAAAGTTTTCACACATAAAAGGATTCTTGCAATATAAACCTTATGCTGTACACTTCAGGCCAAGGCGTGAAAAGTGAACTAAGGGTGTAATTGGTAAATGATTAATACATGTATCTAATAATCCCAACTAAATTAAAGCCATAGCCTATCTCATTCATCTTTCCCTCTTACTAGTCCTAACTTCATTGAATCTTACTTTTCTCTGAATCTTACTTTTTTTTTTATATCTCTGCCCATCCCCCTTTACTCCCCCCCCCCCTCTCTCTCTCAGACAAACACACTTAAACACACACTCACACACACACTCTCTCTCTCTCTCTCTCTCATACACACACACACACACACACACACACACACACACACACACACACACACACACACACACACACACACACACACACACACACACACACACACACACACACACACACACACACAGACTAAAGTTCACACAAAACAAAAGAACACATACACACATATGCACACACAAGTCTAGCTCTTCAGTCTGAAGTAATGCTCCTCAGAATTCACGGAGAGTGTCATTTTGTGCCACATACGTGTTCTTTTAAAACACTGGTTTTTAGTGCAAGCAAACTGCGACAATAACAAGAAGTGATATTGACTACGGCCAACACAGCTGTGTGATTCCCATAAAACTGTCAAGCAAGAATCTTGACGTTTTTTAGCTCAGTGTGTTATGCATATATGGCATATTTACAAGGGAAAGATATATATATATATATACACATACATGATGATTCGAAGAAGAATCTATCATTCATCTGTCATTATGTTAAAGGAAAAATTAACATAATTCCATTAAATCAACCTTCTATTTGATATGGAATGGTGTGGTCTGAATATTTTGTTCAGATTATATTTTTAAAAAATCTCTCTTAAATGAGCCTCCTCTCCCACTAAAATGCATCATTTTGATTGATCAACATTTGAACTTGTAAGAACCGATACAATATTTATCAAGTCTTGTCATTCTCATCTGCAGCGAATTTTACTGAACTTCATCAATCACATACTTGTCAAGGTTTGCTGAGGCTGAGAACTCCAGAGGAACAGATTCGTCTGTGATGGGAATGATGTCCCCACAGGCCTGTCGAGGGGCTCCCTGATCTCTTACGTGGAGAACCAAAGACCTTCCTTGAACTGAACAGAACATTCACAAATTATACAATAGGCTATGTATATTTTTTCTCTTACATGATGGAGAACCAAAGACCTTCCTTGAACTGAACAAAACATTGTATATTTTTTCTCTTACAAGATGGAGAACCAAAGACCTTCCTTGAACTGAACAGAACATTCACAAATTATACAATACGCTATATAACTATATTTCTTGTTCTCTTTTGTTGAGAACCAAAGACCTTTGAACTGAGCAAAATATTGACAAATACAATATAATGTATATTATTTTTGAACAGGTAAATCATTTGTATGTTTTTTGCAAACATACAATTGTTTTGAAAATTTTGATAAATACCTTATTAAGATAAATTTTTCAAAAACACATAAATATTATTCCATAAGTTTGTTGGTCTTAAATGAAATTTCTGATTTTCAAAATCATGTAGACGACAGGAAATCACATCCCTGTTTTTCTTGGAACTCTTACTTTGATTAAGCATAAAAACAAAATATGCATTGAAAAATGGTTTCCTTAAAGTACAATTTAAAAAATTAATTGCTGTCTTTTACTGCCTTGCCAAGTCACGAATCAATAAATTAAGCTTTAGGAAATTTGTCTACATCAAAAGGTTTAAAGATCATGATAAAAATCAGTACTATTAGGCAATGTGAAAGAAAAGACAATATGAGAGAAAGGAAAACAGTGCAAAAAATACCATTCAAAATGAATTTTTACAAATTGAATACCTGAAAATTTTCCTGTCAGGGGCAGATCTATATCAGTGTAAGCATTTCGTCCACCTCCAACATCGTAGACTCCAACCTTTTTGGCCTGATCTCCGACCTCACATCTCAGAGGATTTGTCCGCTTGCATTCCTCTTTGTAGTTCATCTGTCAAATAGATGCATTAAATTGTTAGACTTTTTATTTGTTTAAACACCGTTTCAAGTTACCAGCCATCATACAATACCAGCCTTCCTATTTCTGGCACTCCAGATAGGACTTGTGTTGCTGCCTATGTTTGTAAGGAAAAAGCATTCTCATCAGAATGGTTTATAGGGCCTACAATTTTATTTCCATAAATTTTCATCATCTACCTCATAAAGAGCACAACATGTGTTTGATCCCATTCAGAACAGGTTAGTTCAAGCAAAGGTAGACAAAGACCTGTTTTTATTTAATTTAGATACTTACACCACTGACTGAGGTGTCTTTAGGCCATTCCCAAAGGGGGGACACTTCTTGTTCAAGCATAGTAGAATTGTAAATGGGCTGACTCATGTCACGCTCATAACTGTGCCTGATCTACAACAGGGAACTGCTGCTTTTTCTTTCCTGATCCTTACTATTGTCATTTTTTCCTCTATTTCTTTTATATGTTTGTGACTCTCTTGTGACCAGCTATTTTGGGGTGCCTTGATAGTCGAAGCAGACCTTGTGCTGTTGAAGCTAGAGAGGTGAGCAGTCTAAGTCTGATTCCCTGTAAAGACTTCTCTGTTGACACCCACCTCTTGGCGCTCATATGACCTTATGCAGTTGCGAGCGCCGTAAAACCCTCTACTATAATATAAAAATAAAGTATTCTTGTCTCTCAACTTGAAATAAGTGCTGCTGGGACATTAACATACTTTTGGTGGTTAACAATAGTAAAAACAAATTATTGAGTTATTATTAGCTGTTTGACTCAGAACACATACAATGTAAAAGTAAAAGACTAAAATTTTTGTTTTCCGCTTTTGCATACAAATGAAAAAAAATATTTCAGAATGTTTATTTTTTTAACCCATTATCATATCTCTGCATAATAAAAGAAAGTGTGCATCGCATGACTGTTACTTAATAATAATAAATAATAAATAGCATTTGTATTGCGCATGTCCCCACTCGAAAGCAAGCTCCATGCGCTTTACACTATATATTACCCCAGCAGACCAAAGAACACTCAGAAACATTCTCAGCTTCCTGGGAAGCGTACAGTGCAAGCAGCTGGTTAAGCGCTCAAACACTAACAAACTGAGCATCTGTTTGCAGATGGTTGAAAAATGTGGTAAAAGTTTGATGGTTTAGAGTTCTATATAATAATCCATGCGTGGGAGATATTATTTTCCTCTTTACAGCTCACACAGAGCAAAGGGTGCTCAACTTTTAATATAATCTAAATTAATTGTGCCTTAAAAGGTATTAAATTACATCACATTCAATTTGTCAGAGGGTTGGAGCACACCTCTTATGGTCTAAGCATGTTGTTCTCTCTGCATTTCCGTCTTGTGACTGTAATAAATTTTATTTCAGGCATACCATACTGCTTTCTATGGAGTATGCATAGGATTTATCTTAATTTAAGGAAAACTCAGCATGAAATAAGATTTAATGTCCAGTGTTATAATTACACTTTTACTTTGTACACTTAAAAATCATATTAAGGTTTCTGTTATGATCCATTAAACTATTTTATGAACTTCATATTACTAGATGGCGTAATGCATGTGCTTTGAGAAGGATGCCTGTAAGCAACATTACCCTGCTTTAGTTTCGAAACAGCATTTTCACTTGGATTTGAGTAATGTCTCAGATCTTACCTCATTAGCAAATGCTCTGTATGGATCAAAATGTCCCAGAGCACTTGCACAAGGCTTATCCACAGCGTTGGCATCCCCGTAGATTGGACTAACATGAACATGCCAGTTGTGTCTGGGGGTCTGCAAAAATAAAAGGAATAAAAATATTTTTTTTTCTTGATAAGACTTATGGCTACAATTGTGCACTTTGAGAAAAGCTATGCATTTTGCTCAGTTTCTAAGAAAAGAGGTTAATTACCCACAGCTATTAAACCTAAATAACAAACTAAAAACTTACTGACTAAATGTATGTAGAAATATTATAATGCAGTTTTGTATTTATCGAAGGAAAACAAGAATCAAGGTCGCTTCTAAGGAAGTGAATGTCATTTTTTTACTATAAAAAAGTAAAGGGAGGTGAAAGCACCTTGTTATACTCGACATCAAAGAGGAGACAGAGAAAAATATACAATATGTAGCGGTATAAAGCAGTCTAGGCTTTTCTAGCCTAAGTTCAAAACCAACCATTTAAACAGACAGGCACAACAATTTACCCAAGCTCCATCTGAGTTGACAAAATTCAGCACAATGGAAGTATCACTCATTGTTCCATCTTCAAATATGGTTTGAGACTGAAAAAGAAACGCGTGTGTGATTTGAGATAATCAAGATTTTCAGCAGAAATAAAAAAAAATTAATCCTTGGAGGGTTATTTTTTTTAAACAAAAAAGCTTGGGGGGGGGGGGGGGTTAATAAATAAAATACACAAATAATTTTCAATCATCAATTATCCTACCATTAGCCTACACTAAAAAAGACTGGATGACTAGACTGTTAGAATTCTTTTACTTTAACAAATAAATCCATGGTGTGTTCAAGTTGAGCTATTAAGTAGGTTAAACCTACTTTGAATGATTTATTATTGTTTTAAAATATAAACCGACCCCAATGGTAGCTAGCTTGTGAAAGCACAATAGATCATTGTGCTCTTTTATTCATACAGTGATGTGCTTACCCGTTATCCATTGTGCTGTGACAGTATGAATGTTTGCTTACGTTTCAGCGCTAATCTAAAGAGTGTGTGTATGCATGTTCATCCGCTTATGTTTTGTGTTGAGATGAAGGTATTGTACACAACCTAGAGCTATATTGTATGAGAATAGACGCTACATATATTAATCAGCATTAATAATATTGTTACTTACAAAAACATACTCTAGTTACTACACTGAACCAGAAAGAGTCACTTAACCCACACTGAATGTTCTGACATGACCACATCATAGGTTTGTTTGTTTGTTTTTGTAAGTGTTTTACGGCGCTCGCAACTGCATAAGGTCATATGAACGTGCGGGACACACTAAACTTTTTCAGTTGGTAGGAAATTTTGAATTTTGCCCGGGTGGCGGCCGAAGCCTACTCTTTTCGATTTTAGACCACCAAGGGATCTTTAACGTGCACAGCTTGCACACGGGACCTCCGAGATTTTTCGCCCTTGTCCGAGAAGGCTAGGTGTAGATCTTTCCTACCAGAAGATCAGGGGTGTGGCTGAAAGACAGCAGTAAGAAGAAGCCAAGGAGTAGCAGTAGAAAGGCTGCAGAAAGAATCAGGAGCCCAGAGGAGGGGGCAAAGGAGGTGAAGGGGTGGGGGGCAGAAAGAGGAGACGAAAGCAGACGACAGAACATTGCTAGAGAGTAGGAAAGGAGGTGAAAGGAGACAAATTTAGAGAAGAAAATTTTTTGGTCACTACCTGGTTTCGAACCCGGGACCTTTGAATGAGAGGCAAACACCTTAACCTCTAGGCCACAAGAGCCCCCACATCATAGGTATCGTAAGAGATATAAGAGAGTGCAGATGGTGACTTTGTGAACCACTGTAACTCACAGGACAATACTGTAACAAGGAGGCTATCAGCACCAGTTCAGTCATTAACAGAAAAGAAAGAATTTAAATGAACAAGCATTATATTTAACTAAGAGCAATATTATTTCCATGATTCTGGCACTCACAAAAAAATTTCAACGGTTTCTTGATATTCTGAAAGTGGGCAGTGATAATGTCATAAACAGTTGAATATCTTTGCAATTGAAATAGTCCAAGACGGCCATCCATTGTCAAGAAGAAAAGCGGTTGTCTTAAACAGGTGGATGTCTTGGACGATGTTTTTATATAGAAACATATGCAGAAAGGGAAGTGGGGAGCAGTTGTTTGTATAAGTACGTGATTGTCTTTGACAGGGTGGCTGTTTGAGCAGGCTTGATGGTATTTCACCGAAAGAGTAAAAACTTGTACAGCACAATTACATTTTCCATTCACTTCACAATCCCTCTCAAACTCCACCTTTCTTTTTTTCTCTCCGACAGGTTTCCCTTTTAATTAATGGTGAAAATACACGTGAATAAGGTTGAACCTGCTCTTACAGTCACTCCAAGGCAATGATCTGTACATATGACCCCTTCTACTCCCCCCCCCCCACCCCTTGTATTATTTCTTTACTTTAATGACACTGTTGAAGATGTCCACCTGCCTAAGACAATTGCCTTTCTCTTCAATGATGGGAGGCTGTCTTTGAAAATGTTGACTGTACTTTTACCCTGTGACTCATGTGTGGGATCATAGGGCAGGTTGTCTCTGCCTTTCTTCTTTTGTCTTATTTTTTTCTGTTTCTTAAACACATGCTCCGCACTTGAAGTGACATGTCTTTATCTTGATGCACCCCTCCCCCCTCCTTAACCCCATCCCACCACATTCCCTGAAAATCTAGACTCAAATTGAAAAACCAAAGCACCAGAGTCTTACCAGATGGGCTGTTCCCTGTACCCTGCCTGTGAACGTAACAACTGCACTAACAGGTTTTGCCTCTCCAGGGTAGTAGTGCACTTCTATCTTGGCACAGGATTCGATGTTGGCACCATTATAAACAGCCAAAGATCTCCCCAAGATGCTTGTTACACCAGTCAGTTGAAGGTTGCTGTCTGTCCAATCTGTCCGAGGTGTTGATATGTGTCCTATCTGTGTGTAGAATAAAGGTAAAGCTATATTTCAGTCTATGAATATAACAGGGACCCCCCCCCCCCCCCATTAAAACGGATAAATAAGTTAATGGTTAGTCTATAAAAGTTTATACACCAGATGGAAATTTTAAGCAGTGATTAATATCTTATAAAGAAACGATAAGCAAGGCATTTCTTTCAACGTTTTCACTAAATCTGGAGGCATACTTATACTACTGAGGGCTACAAGAATACTGGCACTTTGTCCAAACCGGCATCCAAAACATTTTCAATATTTTCATGTTATTTCATGTTTACACTTAGTACTTAGACAGCAATCCTTAATAAAAAACAACTTGTTTTTATTGATCAATGGCATGTGTGATGGAAAAATTCCAAACCTCAAAGTCCATGTCTGTCATTGGACTTGCTTGATTTCTCACAACAGCCAAAGGATTGAATAAACCACCAATGTTAGAACACGGATTTCCATCATCAGTTGGTGGCAGTGTCAAAATCTTCAGTCTATGGAATGACGAGTGATAGATGAAACAATGAGTTAGTTTTAGTAGAGGTTTTACGGCGCTCGCAACTGCATAAGGTCATATGAGCGCCAGAAGATTAGAGGTGTTACAAGAGAGTAACAAACACAAAAAAGAAGGAGGGGAGATAAGGACGATAGACAGGAAAGAAGAAGCAAACCACACCAGAGCACCCGCCGCCAACCACCCACTTGAAACAATGAGAAATTGAAAAAAAAAAAAGGAGAGGTATATATATATATATATATATATATATATATATATATATATATATATATATATATATATATATAACAAACATCGGTTTCAACAACAAACGCTCTTAGTGTCGTCCACTAATGGGGAACAGGTCATCAATATGTCCAATGCTTAACTTACATTTCAAACATGGAACCACCAACTGCTTATAACTTTAATAAAGCCAATGTTATGAGTAAAAATACATCGTGTGGCAACTTCTTTCTCCAAAGACCAGCATGGGCAACCCCAAATACGGCAAAACTAAACAACTTATCAAAACTTACTTCAACAGATTTATAACATGGTCATGGTGCTGAGCTCAGGGGTAAAAATAAAAACCTCAAAAAGACTGCCAAATAATGATACCCCTCCTCTCCCCCCCCCCTCATCCAAAAATCAAAATATCCTACAATTAACATGCCCCGAGCTATATTTGTGTAAGACTCATCAAATTCTATTTTATCTTGTGTCTTCATAAAATTCCAGAATCACGATTTTTCTCTTCACCTGTGGTCAGCTGTAAGTCCTGTCAGTCGATTGGACACAATTGTTGATCGGGCTCCTACCCCAGGCTTTTGCTGAAAAGTTATTGACCCCGTAACAGCTCCGCCTTGAAGCCGAGCTACAAGTTTTGGAGCCCGGAGCGGCATAATTTCTGCACAAGATAAAATTACCGATCCATCTGCACTCATGATCACCAGTGATTTACCAATGATCGAATTTTGGCCAGACAGTGCAGTGTTGCTGTCTGTGAAGAAGTATTTTGTTGATATTCCTGAAAAAAAAAGTACACTCAGAGCTAGATTGAGCAACATGTGTGAAAATACAATAAAATATTAATCTACATGTGCAGTCATGGAAACCCAAAATCTATAGGCCTATCTGTAAAGAAGGGGGAAATATTTGTGATTTCCTGGGATACTAGGACTTGATAATGTAAAATAGTTTTTGGAATTAACTTTACCCACGTAATTGAAACTTACATTACAAGAAAGGTTAATCTTCTGTCTTGTCTCAACATCCTTTTCAGGAAAGTAAAGAAGAGAGAGAGAGAGATACAAAAAAGGTGAGGCGGGGAAGGAGAATCAGATGGGGGGTCAAAGTGAAAAATGAGCCAAATAAGATTGATATATTGTTATCTCTGAAATAAAAAAAAAGAGAGGTTATATAATTATATATGTGTATATTTTAAAAATATGCATGAAAAGTAATAAACAGAGAGCAGAAATGGTATGGCTGAGATGTTGCCTTCTAATTGCCTAGTTTTACACTAATGAATCATGACAATGCCACTTTCAGTTTCTGTACTCACCTTCATTTGTGCGAATGTTTATTTCACCAAGTCTGGGATACAGATCGCCTTCTTTGCAGCTCAGCTGATTCATACGGTTACAATATGGACTGTATTGTCCTTCTGTTAGCTGTTGCCACAAGTTCCCGGGGTTATAGGTAGATCCTGTTGAAGCACATCTATCAGCAACATTCTCTGACAAAAAGTCATCACCTGGCTGAGGACAATTTTTGTAATGTAAAAAAAAAGTCTTTAATGCCCCTTCATCAAAATAGATAAATGAAAAGGAAAGAATATTAAAAGTAATAAAAGAGTGAATTTGAATAAAAACAGGAATGTTTAAAAAAACAAAACAAGGAAAGACCTCTTTATCTAAAACCAAAACAGACCAGAAAGTAAAAAGAATTTCCTTTGTTGAAAAGAAAACTAAAGACCAGAAAGCAGGAATAACATTTTATAACAATGTACATGTATTTGCAAAATGTGCAACTGCTACAGTTTAAAAAAAAAGAAATTACAACATACATATTAGGCTACGTATTTTAATCCAATCAATAGGTTTCTTTTCTCTTCCACCTTCAGAGTGAGACTGGTTCATGCACGTATCTGCTGAAGACTGAAAACAACACAATATCATCGTGGCATCTCAACCATCTCCATCCACCCCCCCCCCCCAACCTCCCACCAAAAACAACTTAAAATAACCAAAGAGTAAGCTAATTCGTAGTTGCTATTATAAAACCCTTTAAGGTGCTATTCAAACATACTGCACTCCATCAATTTCTATGCGCACAAACAAATTTATCTGCGCAATATTATTATTATTCTTTAAACAGAAAATATGTATAATTACAGGGTTGGCATTTATTCTCCATCGATGTCCCAGCGAGCCGGGTCGGCCATCATTATAGTCCAGCTGTAAAGAGATTGACGTGTCTGCACTGGGATCGTTTGCAGCTTGTACAAAGACAGCATGGCCAATCACAGGGTACTTAAAGGTGGCTACTGCAGCGACAACTTCTTCATGGGGCTCTATATTGGCACAAATCCATCTGTCATTGGAAAAAAAAACCCGCGATGATAGAACATAACACAGTACATAAACATATAAAAACGAAACAGAATTACAGTAGACCAGTGCTTGTCAACCTGGGCGATACACCTCCCCCCCCCCCCCGGGGGGGGGGGGGGGGGGGGGGGGGGGGGGGGGGGGGGGGGGGGGGCGGTGCTACTGACTGAAGTGTCTTTAGGCCAATCCCAAAGGGCGCGGGGGGGAGGGGGACATTAATATGTTCTTATGCACAGTAGAATTGTAAATTGTAAATGAGCTGATTCATCAATGTCATGCTCATAACTGTGCCTGAACTGCAACAGGGAACTGCTGCTTTTTCTTTCCTAATCCTTACTATCGTCATTTTCTCCCTCTACTTCTTTTGTATGTTTGTCACACTCCTGTGACCCGCTACTTCTGGGGTGCCTTGATAGTCGAAGCAGACTTTGTGCTGTTGAAGCTGGAGAGGTGCGCAGAGTATGCCTGACTCCTTGTAAGGACTTCTCTGTTGACATCCACCCCTTGTTGCTCACATGACCTTATGCAGTTGTGAGCGCCGTAAAACCCTACTAAAACAAACAAACAAACAACCTGGGCGATATCGTCCATGAGTGGGCGATTTGTTCATTTTGGAGGACGGTGAAGACCACCCGGGTAGAGACAGGTATTATTATTCAATGCCCCGCTTGGAAATACATGATGTAGATGGGCCGCACGAAAATGCTAGCCTCCTAAGCAAAAGTGGACGCTGGCTGGTAAAAAAGGTTGACAGGCACTGATTCTAATGACGGACGGAATATTATCAAAATATCAAAACTAAAAAAAAAATCAAAAAGACAAAAATCAAAACTTACTAGATCTAGATTCAGATACAAGATGATGTTCTCAAGATTGAAATTGTAAGGGAAAATATCTAGCTAGATCTATACAACATT